CTAAGTACATGATCTGAGTACTTCTACTTTTAATAAGTACATGATCTGAGTACTTCTACTTTTACTAAGTACATGATCTGAGTACTTCTCTCCTCTCTGTTTGTTGCTGCTTCCCTCCAGGATCAATACAGCTTATCTTCATTGAACTCTGGTTGTATCAAACTTGAAGGTATTTGTATTGATCAGGTATTTCTATTGATCAGGTAGTATTTGTATTGATCAGGTAGTATTTGTATTGATCAGGTATTTGTATTGATCAGGTAGATGTATTAATCAGGTATTTCTATTGATCAGGTAGTATTTGTATTGATCAGGTAGTATTTGTATTGATCAGGTAGATGTTGATGCTGTTCTCTCTTCAGGTAAACCCTCGCTGTCTCTCTGTGACTCCCCTCATTTCCCCTGAGAGTGACAGAGCACTATTTATTTCCTGCTGCGCAGTTCACAGTCTGAGTCTGAGCAACAGCTCCCCTGCTGGTTGAGTTCGGAACTGTTCCCAGCAGTCACGTGATTTCCTGTAAACAGTCCAACCAGCAGGAGGTGAAATACATCCATGGGTGAATCCACTGCTCATGAGCGCCATCTAGTGGGAACAACTGGAACTTAAACAATAAAGACGTGTGCAGATCTTGATGTCTCCAGTGTGTGGTTCAGGTCCAGAGGAAGTGAAGCTTCATCACAGCAGGGGACAGAAGAGGGTTTTAGGGTCAGAACCAGAGCACATTCTCACACTGTTTTCACCACACTTGATAGTAAATATTCTACATGTCATCAGTGTGAGCCCGGACATGTTGAGACCCCAAAGTTTAATGGTAGAAATGTAGAGTAGGGTCTCCAGCTCATAGAACCTGCCGGATGTTAACCTGCAGATGTTCAGAGGGACATTTACACAATGAGCACAAGCTGCATTCATTAGCATTAGCACACAATAGCTAAAACATGGTTTGGCCGATTTGAACAGTTTTGGAGGTTTTTGAGGATCTCTATTGAATAAATAATATATATTGGAGCAGTGGGTGAACATCTGATGAGAACAGTTTGCTCTGCAGCTTATTAACCACTGAATATAAAATAGTGTTTATTGGTGTTTATCACAGATAATATGAAGTGTAACGTGTGAGAGCTGGAGGACGATCAGACGCCACGTAAAGAAACTAATGGTTAAATAAATGGACTTAAAGATGTAAATGATGTCCTGCAGTTGGTCTTATTTAGAGTCAGTGTCACTAATGCTGTAACTCTTCAGAGCTATTGGAATGGGAAGGTGATGATATCCAATCAGAAGAGATCAGTGAGGCAACAATGAGGATCTTATTGATTTAAAAGCATATTGATTACACAGCGTGAGGAACAGACATAAGATGGAGAAGACCTCATGTTAGTATGTCGTCTTTCAACAAGAAGGTTGTTGGTTCGATTCCAGCCCGTGGAGTCAACATGTCGATGTGTCCTTGGGCGAGATACTGAACCCTGAACAAAATCACTTTTCTCAGAAAAGAAGAGAGAAAAAAAAAAAAGTCAGGATAACGGTTTTAGAGACATAAAAAAAAATATATGAGAACTGAAATAAAGTCAGGAAAACCTTATTATATCCTGACTTTATTTGAATTTTTTTAGAAAGTTACCGGTGCGCCAATGAGGAAGTGGAGAACACAGGAGACAACCATTTCATTGCAGACTTTTTTGGGGAATGACATACATGCATACATTATTTGAGATATATTTCGAACTCCGACTTAATTTTATGGGCATTTCGGCCAGGGGTGTGGAGCTATTTGTTTAAGCACCGGATTGGCAAAACAGGAGAGTCTGTAAACCAGTCTGCTTTGATCTATGAATTCATGTCCGTGACTCTCAGAGTACCTGCTGCCCGCAGCTGGTTTTAAAGGGAAACAAACACTCAGAACCGGACATCTCCTTCATAAAACTAATAAAAGGGGGAGTAATCGGGCAGTTCGATGTGTGTAGAGGTGTGTGTGTGTGTGTGTGTGTGTGTGTGTGTGTGTGTGTGTGTGTGTGTGTGTGTGTGTGTGTGTGTGTGTGTGTGTGTGTGTGTGTGTGTGTGTGTGTGTGTGTGTGTGTGTGTGTGTGTGTGTGTGTGAGTGAAAAATCTGACAACACTTTGAAATATTTCCCTTGTTTATTATCAGCAATTAGTCAAATACATAAAAACAAACTGTAGGAAAAGAAACTCGAGCGACTTGTTTTCCACGAGTTGAAACATCGCTTTCGTCTCGCCCACATTCACGCCTCCAGATTTTATTTTTTTTATTTTTTCGCTCAACATGTTGTGCAGTAAAAAAAGGAAACACGTTATGGTACATGAACAATAAATTAAAAAAAAGAAATATTTAGCACTTTATTTACAACTCATATTCCAAGAGAGAGAAACGAAACATTCCTTCAATTTACGAGCAACAAACTCCACAGAATATTAAACCGTTTCTGGCAACGACGTCTCAGACTGATAATAAATAACTCTGTTGGCTTTCAGCTTCAAAATACATGCCAATCAATCAATAAATGAAATGATTACCCTGAACTGAGCTGATCAGTAGAAAACATCGTTATCAAAAAGAAAACTACATTTTTGTAAATACATTTTTGCAGTCTTGATGGATTTTTGCAAAATAATATGAATAATTTATACTTTTGTAAACAACAACCTGATGGATTATGAAGGATAAACATCATCAATATGGATTATTTAATTATTAATAAAATACTAATATTATTAAAGTTATTATTAGTAATTGAAAACCCCTTTAGACCGGAGGACATGTAGAATTAAATCACAATTATGGCCTTATGATGACGTATATTGTCAAATAAGTTTCCTGTTATTGGCGGACCAGATGTAAAAAACCAAGGCAATATTTAAGTTTACAGAGTTACATTTTATTAGTGAAGGTGTGTGGCGCAGTGGGCTAGTGTGTTGGTGTTGGGATCAGGGGAGCACAGGTTCAAACCCCACTGAAGTCAGCATGTCGTTGTGTCCCTGACTGTGTCCACAGTATTGAGTATGTAAGTCGCTTTGGATAAAAGCGTCTAACAAGTAACATGTAATGTAATTAGTTAAATACTCAGCAAAGTGCCAGATATGCCAGAAACATTTCCAAATACGTTGCATGTCAAGTGCAGTTTGCCAAAGATAGCAGAGGATCGTCTGCATAAAGTCACATTTTACAGATTAAAGCCAGCATGCTTTCACTGGCCCACAATTCTGTGCACATGATATATGAGCATGTAGAGGGTGCCTAGTATATACTAGTGTATACATAATGCACACAGTAGTATATACTAGTGTATACATAATGCACACAGTAGTATTTACTAGTGTATACATAATGCACACAATAGTATTTATTTAATAAGAATGAGAGAATTTAGTTTGATTCGGTCGCTTTTCAACGTTGTCTGACATTTTCTGACATGTTTTATGCTTCTACACACCTAACTATGAAATGATTTCCATCAGGTTTTGTTTCTTTTGATGTCGCAGCTTCAGGGTCTCACACTGTAAGGGGTTTCTGTGTCATATTAATAATGAACTAAAGTAAAGGATAATGAAGCCAGTTGAACAATCGTCAGAGAATAAAAGATCAGGCAGAGTTTAGGCTGTACAAACTAGAAAGGTTAAAGTGGAGACCAGAGAGAAAGTTCTATGTACATCGAGTCCCGTCGTTTCACACGTAATAGAAGAAACATGTTATCAAACATTGTTGTTTGCAAAAAAAGTTCTACTCATTTACATTTCTAGCACAAGACTGTCCACCATCTTGTTCTGAGAGGCAGTTTGCTATGGCGAAGCTAAGTACATTTCATGCTGCACTAATATAGTGCACAATGATGCCTGAACAGGCAGGAAGGAGGCAGGCAGACGTGAGGAGTCGTGACCCACGCCTCCGTCATACTAACGAGACGAGGAATCACAAGGTCCCACCAAAGCACACAGAAACAAGTTGTGCTTTAGGACAAACATCTTTGTGCTTTAGGACAAACTTCTTTGTGCTTTAGGACAAACATCTTTGTGCTTTAGGACAAACATCTTTGTGCTTTAGGACAAACATCTTTGTGCTTTAGGACAAACATCTTTGTGCTTTAGGACAAACATCTTTGTGCTTTAGGACAAACTTCTTTGTACTTTAGGACAAACATCTTTGTGCTTTAGGACAAACATCTTTGTGGAGTTTTTCTCCGAGGACCGAGGTTCGGATGTTTCCGGCAGTAGAAGAAGAAGATGGCAGAGAAGCGAAGGCAAAACACTTCCAGAAGAAGATAAAGAGTTCATGAAGGCTCTTGTGAAATAAAAAGTATCAAAATGGGAAATAAAAAAAGATGGCGCCTGACTTTAAAGGTCTCCTATTATACTGTTTCTCATTACTTTATCACAGGTCTCAGATATATCCAGAGCCTGTCTCTGATTGGCTGAAACACCAAACAGGTCATTGAGGCATTACCCATAATCCCCTCTGTTTCAGCCCTGTTTTCAAAGTGCTGATTCTCTGTCTGTTACTTTAGATGAAAATAAGGAGCCCCTCCCCACGCCCCTCTGAGAGACATTTGGTTACTCAATGGTGCTCTAGGAGGAGATTCAGGTGATAAGGGGGGGGGGGGGGGTTACCTTGGTTGCTGATTGGCTAATGGTTACACAAGACAAAACATCGTTATGACATCATCAAGTGGCCAAAATCTGATCAGCTCATTTTCAGACAGGTTTTTATAAAAATGGATCAGGACAAAAAGAGAGAGAATCTTTGTTCCTGAAAACTTTCAGAGTCTCTTTCCACAGAGGGGACACATGTTGATGTAGAAGAGACATGAAGAAGAGGGGACACATGTTGATGTAGAAGAGACATGAAGAAGAGGGGACACATGTTGATGTAGAAGAGACATGAAGAAGAGGGGACACATGTTGATGTAGAAGAGACATGAAGAAGAGGGGACACATGTTGATGAAGAAGAGACATGAAGAAGAGGGGACACATGTTGATGTAGAAGAGACATGAAGAAGAGGGGACACATGTTGATGAAGAAGAGACATGAAGAAGAGGGGACACATGTTGATGTAGAAGAGACATGAAGAAGTGGATTTTGCGTAATAGGAGACCTTTAAGACGTCTGCAGGAAACAGTTTTCTGCATCAGGAAGAGAGAACCGTCTACATGTCGGCGTCTCCGTCGTACGCCAGCGTTAGAGGTTTCAGTCTGTTGTTCATCTGACGCCGCTGAGGCTTCTTTGGCTTTTTGCTGCGAAAAGAAACAAAAGAAAAAGAAGTTCAGAGAGTCTGATCCCAGCCGGGTGGAAGCCGGTGTGAAGGTGCGGTTTGAGATGGTGGAAAATGAAGAAGTGAAAACATGAGAGAAAATAATGTGAAGGTCGACCAGGAGATGGCGCCAGAGGAAAGGTAATAAAATAATGTCAACATGCAGGGAGAAAAACTGAGGCTGTGAAACGTGTATCCGGGTATTTGTGATTGTATTGTATTTAGAGTAAAATGTATTTTATGAATAGTGATATTTATAGTGTTTTTGTTCTTTTGGATTTACAGTGCAACCTGCAGTTTGTATAAACAGTATGCATATATTTCAATAATATTGTATTTACAGTAAAATGTATTTTATTATTGTTGTTATTGTGTTTTATTTACAATGAAAACATGCAGTTTGTATTTAGTTAGTGAAACATTTTCGAGGGTAAATTTGATTGTATTCTTAATTTATTTATGTTAAAAATTGTAGGTAATATATTTTGTATTGTATTTTATTCCCAATAACATGTCTGTATTTTTGATTGACAATAAAACCTTGTTGTTTTTAAAGGTAAAAAGTATCGAACATTTTAATTTGTAAATATAGATTTTCACATAAAGAATCCAGAATTATGACTTTTTCTGAATTATGAATTTTTTCCAAGAATGTTGACGTGGTCCAATAAATATGACTTTTTTTCAGAATTAATACTTTTTTCCCAGATTTCAATTTTTTTTCAGAATCTTACTTGTTTGGTATTTACAGGTGTGTGAGGTGTGCTGGATGGATCTAACTCTCACCTGCAGGAAGGATCCTCTGAATGAGGCACGGATTAATTTAGGCACTAATGAAGGTGAGGCAAAGAGAGGTGAAGAAGTGAAGTCTAAGTGATGAGGGTCTCAAAGGGAGGAGGGGGAGGAGGAGGAGGGGGAGGAGGAGGGGGGGGAGGAGGTGGGGGTTGTTGTAGCAGCGCCTCAAGATGTAGTTGTTGGTGTAGTTGTTGGTGTTGTTGTTGTTGGTCGTGCTCCTCTCTCTGGCAGGCGGGGCAGGTGTAGGGCAGGGAGTGGGGGTCCACCCAGAACCCCGCCTCTGATGGAAGCTTTGAACCCGACGTGCAGATAAAGCAACAACAGCAATAACTGAGGTGATGAAGGAATGAAATGAAAATGAAATGAAGAGGACAAATGAATTGAAAAGCAGTGATGAAATGGAGGTCAAATCTCTTTACGGACTTTTGTCCAAGAATTTCGACTTTATTCTGAATTTTGTCTTTTTTTCAAGAATTGACTTTTTCCCCAAATGCTGATTTTATCCAAGAGTTTTTGACTTTTCCCCAGATTCAGGATTTTTCTTAGAATGTTGTATTTTTTTTTCAAGAATTGACTTTTTCCCCAGATTTATAATTTTTCCAAGAATGAACTTTTTCCAATAATTCTGACTTTTTTTCAAATTTTTTTCTTTTCTTCACGAATTGACTTTCTTCCCCCCAAAATTCAGTTTCTTTCAGAATGCTGATTTTATCCATGAGTTTTTGACTTTTTCCCCAGATTCATGATTTTTCTTAGAATGTTGACTTTTTTTCCCAGAATTTACTTTTCCCCCAGAATTATGAGTTTTCAAGGTTTCTGAATTTTTTTCAGTCATTTTTCTCAGAATTCTCACTTTTTTTCCTGGATTTCTCACTTTTTCCTCAGAATTCAGACTTTGACTTCTGACGAGTGGAGAAATGCACTGATGGCATCCTGATCATTCATCTTACTTTTTAACAAACAAACACAAAGGACTTTCCTTCATTCTGACCTCCATTACATCACTGACTGCAGGTTGATGAAACATGCATGTGATGAATAAAGTGATGAAGAGAAGAAGTACAGACAGACGGTTATATCATAATATAAGTGCAGGTACGTTACCATGCTAAATACGTCATGGAGATGATGAAGACGAGCAAAACAAACGCTCCTGCTGCTACTCCGTACACCCAGGTCTTCATTTTCCCATCTGCAGAGAACACACACACACACACACACACACACACACACACACACACACACACACACACACACACACACACACACACACACACACAGTAAATACACTGTAGGAATAACATGTCTGGCATGCAGTTCCCTGTTTAACCTGAAGGGGGCAGTAGAGTTACACATTAGTGAGGATGTGATATTTAGTAACTGAATTATCTTCATCATCACACACACACACACATACCATAAACTGATTTAACACCAGTTTAAAATGTGTTATTGTGTTATTTAACACATCTATAAATACAAGTCTTCATCACACTGTCACATATATGTATGAGCCAGAGAAAAAGAAAAAAAAACTATGAATAAATACTGTATTTTATCGACTATAGCTTATCTAATTGTATTCAAAATAATAGTATTAAATTAAAATATTTTACATTAAATACAATATTATCATAAATGTATTCATTTATTTATTTGAAAAAAGAGCAACTGTCACTGAGCAACATTTCCCCCCAGGATAAATAAAGTCATCTTATATGAGTTTTTAGTTCTTGACACATTTAGTTATTTCAATTAGTGCTATATTATAGAAGATTATTTGATTAGAAAATATTAAAATAAAGCTTTTCAGGAACAGAAATGTCATTTTTTACATTTTCTTTTTCTTCCACTTTTATAAACCAAAACAAAATCTTTTTTTGTTTTCCTTCTCTGTTGTTTCTTCCGCTCCTTCTTTCTTTCCCACTATTTGCTTTTCTCTTTCCTCTCGTTGTTTCATCATCCTGTATTGTTTCTATCCTTTTGTTGTTATTCTGGAGTTTCTCCCCCTTTCCACCTCATTATTAACAAATTAAATTCCCCATTTTTCCTGTTTCTCTCATTTTCATTTTCACTTCTTTTCCCATTATTTCCCTTTTGTATTTGTCCTCCTTTCTTCCATTCTTTCCTCCCTTCACTCTAATACCTCCCCCTCCTTCTTTTATAGCTGAGTTAGCAATCATTTTGTGTTCTCAGCAATTACACACATTTCCACAAATTGCATTAGTTTGAATATATTGTAATGGAGTTCAGGCTTAATGAGATTTCCTTCTGTGGGAGGCAGGTCATTTTCTCAAATTACAACAAACATTACATCAACAGTTATAGGATCATTCTTAACGCTGTTTTTGTTTGAAGATATTGTATTTTTACCCTACAGAAGTAATACAATACATTATTTACTGTCTAAACTTGATTCTTATTTATATTTTTGATTCCTTCCCTTCCATTTTTCATATTATTATGAAGTTAATATGTGTTCAGCATGATTAAACAGGTGTTCCAGGGTCATAACTCACGAGATGTGTGTGTATGTTTGTTTTGCTACCCTTCTGAGGACCAATCATTGACAAATAACCCATTCTGTGAGGACATTTATGTTTTGTCTGCTGTTGTGGCCTCCTGATGGAATATACTTCAAAAATATTTTGGGACATTAGTGTTTTCTCCCATGTTACCTGGTCCAAAGGGCTGCAGGAACCAGGTGCGCCCCCCTCTGCCCGGGGAGCTGGCTTCAGGCAGGGTGGGGTTGAAGCCCCGGATCGTCTTCACGTCGGCCCGGTTGTCTCCGGCCGTCGGGATCTCCAGCACCGGGATTACCGTGCACTGATCCAGGACCCCGTCAGAGGTCATGACCTCGGTGTAGCCGTCCTCACAGCCGCACACCCCCGCCTGGATAAGGGAGGAGGAGGATAGGTAGGTTAAATACAAAGATAAAACTGACTTATAACTCGTAAAGCATCTGCAGTTACTTTAAAGTTGCGATGCCCTTGTGAAAAACCGCAGTCTTGAAAGGCGCTATACAAATTGAATCTATTATTATTATTATTATTATTATTAAGGTAAGACATGGTATTGCATTTTAAAAATAATATCCTAATCTGACACTTTTGTAAAAGTAAAAACATCGCAGTAACTTTTAAAGTTGTGATGCCCTCGGGAAAAACTGCAGGCATTCATGTACTTTTTCCTAAAATACAACTGTGAAACTATATTAAGGTATTATAAAAGGCAAGACATGGTATTGCATTTTAAAAATAATATCCTAATCTTTCACACGTTTTTTTTCCAAGTTTACCAGCCTCTTGAAATGTACTCTTTATGTTTTACTTTACATCTATTTAAGATTACAGAGCAATAATGAAGACAATACATGTATATAATAATAATAATGCATGAGATTTGTATAGTGCTTTTCCTGATGCTCAAAGACGCTTTATATACAATCAGAACAGAAACAAAACTAAGAAAAACAATAAACCTAAACAATAGTCCAAATCCAAGTGTGAGTAAAATGGGAGGGTTGTTGATCAGAGTTTGAAAGCTAGAGTGAATAAGTGAGTTTTGAGAGATTTTTTGAAAGATTCAAGAGTGTTGCCTTTCTGATGTGACTGGGAAGGGAGTTCACTGAAGGTAATTGATGCAGAAATGGGAGAGTAACTTACAAAAAGAGAGATAGACTGGAAAAACAAAAACAAACCGGGCTCAGGGGAAGTCGGGCTGAAAGTAGGCCACGAATGGAGACCAGGTCAAAAAACATTCAGGCTTTTTTGGGGAGCTGAATTCAAGTTTCAGACAGTAAACATCTTATTGTTTTGTAGGTCACAGCTTCATTCTTGCTATCTTTATTACTGTTTTATATGAACATATGAACTGTTTTGTTTTCTTATACCTCATGCAATGACTATAAAATAAATTCATTCTGTTTTATTTGGTCTTCGGCCAAGAGGGCGAAAAGAGTTTAAAATTAAACACAATAATTATTCTAATCTTTGCTAATCAATTGTGGAGAAGGTACTCGGAGAATGTTCTTAGGTAAAAGTGCTAACGATGTTGAGATACTGAAATGTTTATACACCAAAATTAATCATGCAAAAAAACCATCATATGTTAAAGGTTTTTCATACGTTTTCCACTATGCGTTTTTGTGTCGTAGCAGTATAAAGTGGCACAGTGAGAAAGGACTTTGGTAAAGTACAAGTACCTCAAAGTACAGCACTTGAGTGAATGTACTTAGTGACTTGCCACCACTGAACACGAGTGATGACCTGTGCAAAAGGGAGGGGTTTTACAGTTACTTCCTTGTTTGTACGAGGACAGCGACGCTGGTGTTGTTTTCATCTTGTGATTCTACGTTATTCAGGTTTGTAGTTGAGATAATAATTGAGTTTGAGTTCAGTATACTACCAAGAGAGAGATAAGAGAGAGAGATAAGATAGGACTTTTTTTATCCTGAAGGAAATTGTTGTGCCAGAGTTACAAAACATAAATAAACACAGTAGCATGATAATAGTAAAACTGTAAACTAACAGAGCACCAAAATACCAACGTTCACTGAACACTGAAAAGTGATCTGTTTCACTTTGAAAAGTCAGATGTTTGAAAACCAACATGGCTCAGTTGAAGATGTGGTTTCAAAACAAAACTCATTGCAAACATTTCCCTAATTGGGATCAATAAAGTACATCTTATCTTTATTGATGTTATCTCTTCTGACATAAGTCAAGCGGGGTACAAATGCAGGGAGATGCTGAACCATACGTCACTCTGGAAAAGATTATAATGTTGTAGTATTTCTGCCGGCAATTCAATCCAGCTTCAAAATGTAGAAAGCAACATGAGCGCAGCCCGAGCAGAGAACTGGACCAAGCTATGTTAGTGCTAACAAAGAATAGAAAGCTCTGTATTAATTAAGGGATGCAGCAAGACAGTCATCATTGGGAAAGGAACTACTGCACATATCTTAGTCCAATTCTATTTCTACGATTTCAATCATATTCAATGTTAATACTGCTACATTTTACTATACTTTTTTAATGTTATTATAGTTTTCTTAAACTAGTTTTCTATCTGTGTTTTTAATTGTGGTTTTATTTGTATGTATGCACCTCAACACCAAGTCATATTCCTCGTATGAGTCAACCTACCTGGAGATAAACCTGATTCTGATTCTGAGGACGAACCCCAACGCAATATACATATAGAGGCATTGGTTCAAAGAGATTATGTAGTTCCCTTTATATCACCAAGCTGTAACTAAAGGGTCAAATGTCTCAGCGGTAAAGCATGGTAAAAGTCATGTAGTCTTTTGAAGGAAAATACAAATGTAATATCTTGCAGCACTTGAACACATCGTTGAGCTTCTCTAGATAAAGCCATGATGATTCATCTGTAAAGCCTCACTATGAACCGGCTGCTGTTTGAGAGACAGGGTGTGTTGCAGGAAGCCCCCCCCCTCCTCCACAACTCTCTCTGAATCCCTCACCCCCTCACCCAGCAGGGGGTCCCCACCCCCATTGGTCTCTGGAGGATGATGGTGATGCCGTGCAAACAGAACGTGCAGCCGCAGACTGAGCAGGGAGGAAACCATTTACATCTCCTCAGAGGCAAACAAAGGGAGGTTCAGCAGCGAGCTAGAAATGTTATAAATATCTGGGTTCAGTCTCTGGAGAGAGTCTGAACTTACCCACAATCCTCTGTTCCTTTAGACACCTTCGAGCAACCACATGCTTTAACAAACCATTAATAATCAGTTCAGGGTGTAGAGTGCCTCGTGGCGTATAATGGAGCCGTAACAACTTCACCCTTACTATTCTACGTGTCTTTTTACGATGTCAGTGCCAATATAGTATCTCAGCTTTGGTATGAAAACTGATTCTCCAAACTCAATGCACAACTGTTAAATGTTTTCTTACCGTTAGCAACCGTGTAGGAACTGGACATCGTCAAAAATAAGCAAATATTGTAGGTGTCAGTCGCCTGCAACCGTCTAATGGATGCAGTTTGATTCCATTGAGTTCTGAGTCCTTAATAGCAGGTTTCTTAGAGTCTCTGTTTAGCCGCGTTGTATTTCTGCCAAACATCAGCAGCTGTTATTAAAAGCTGCAGGTCCAGGTGTGTTCAGAGAGGATAATGGGGGAACGCTTAACAACAGGTGGCAGCATCATGTGACTCTTACTCTGCTTTCTTTCCTCTCATCTTTTTTCTATTCTCCTTTTCTGTTTCTTTAAACTGTCCAGATGCACAGCCTTCATCCCAGCGGGGGGTCAGCAGCCTCCAGAAACACCTTCTCTCCGCCAAACAGAGACACCGGGCTTTGAACCACGGATGCATTTCTAACCCGGTTAAAAGAAGTTGGAAAGGCTGCAAAGCGTTGTGACTGTGGCTGTGATTACAAGCCAGAATTCACTTTGGTTGTTTTGTTAATTCCCTTGAAGGCTACAGCGCTAGATATCAAAACCATGACATGTTTCTGTTCAAATCAGCTGACTCTTTTTGCCAAGCAAGCACCAAGAGCAAAGAGCAGTATATATTGGGGGCTCTTCCGGGATGAACAGTTCAAAACTACTACGCTGAAGAGTGAAAAGTTGCTGTAGACGTCATGCTTGCAATTCAATCTCGCTTCGTAACTCTCTATCGGGCTCAAAACAGAGAAACATCCAACTGGTTTGCAATTTGAACCAACTACGAATTAACACTAGTCCTAGTCACTTCATCATAGTTTCTCCTTTGTTAACTGGATTTATAACACTCACACTACATTTTATATTTATATTTAATTGAATATTCCATTCCATGCACACTTGATGTAAATAATATCCTGCTTATATTGTGTTATCAGAAAATGGCCCTTCAACAGTGTTTTGATTGGTCAGACAGATTATAGACTTTTTATCTTCAGGGTCATCTGTACATTTGTCTTACTCTCTAATGCTGGTTTATTTCTATTTCGAGATGTTTATATTTTAGAATTGTTTTATTTCTATTTTGTTATTATGTGCAATCCCTTGTTTTGTTTCATGCTGCAACAAAAATGTTTCCCAAATTGGGATTAATAAAGTACATCTTTATCTCTTTATCACGTTGTTTTAAAAACATTTTGTATTATTATTTTAATTTTTCATTCTATTTTGTCTTTATTTTTACCTCGTGTGAATCCTGTTTCTTTTCACTCTGACCTGTTGCTGCTATAAACGCCTGAATTTCCCCAAGGGGATAAATAAAGTTCCATCTTATCTCGTTGTCTTTAGGACAGACTTTAAACATAACTCATGTTTGTGGAAAAAGGGTAGAATACATGCCAGAAGCCAAACAAGACAACAAAAAGGTGCCAAAGAGACACCACAAGAAGTCCAAGTATATTTACAATTTGCAGTACCAGCATTGTGACAGACAGGATGTGACCACAGGTGTTTGAAATCTCCGTCAGAACTCACCTCTGTGCACAGGGAGCGGGGCTTGGTGCAGGGCGGGCTGCAGGATCGGTCAGATATCGGCTCGGTTGTCATCGGGCATCCACCTGCAGAGCAAAGAAGTCACATTTTAAAGGTCTCCTATTCTGCAAAATCCACTTCTTTATGTCTCTTCTACATCAACATGTGTCCCCTCTTCTTCATGTCTCTTCTACATCAACATGTGTCCCCTCTTCTTCATGTCTCTTCTACATCAACATGTGTCCCCTCTTCTTCATGTCTCTTCTACATCAACATGTGTCCCCTCTTCTTCATGTCTCTTCTACATCAACATGTGTCCCCTCTTCTTCATGTCTCTTCTACATCAACATGTGTCCCCTCTTCTTCATGTCTCTTCTACATCAACATGTGTCCCCTCTTCTTCATGTCTCTTCTTCATCAACATGTGTCCCCTCTTCTTCATGTCTCTTCTACATCAACATGTGTCCCCTCTTCTTCATGTCTCTTCTACATCAACATGTGTCCCCTCTTTTTCATGTCTCTTCTACATCAACATGTGTCCCCTCTTCTTCATGTCTCTTCTACATCAACATGTGTCCCCTCTTCTTCATGTCTCTTCTACATCAACATGTGTCCCCTCTTCTTCATGTCTCTTCTACATCAACATGTGTCCCCTCTTCTTCATGTCTCTTCTACATCAACATGTGTCCCCTCTGTGGGAAGAGACTTTCTTTTTGTCCTGATCCATTTTTATAAAAACCTGTCTGAAAATAAGCTGATCAGATTTTGGCCACTTTATGATGTCATAACGATGTTTTGTCTTGTGTAACCATTAGCCAATGGGTAATGCTGCAATGATCTGTTTGGTGTTTCAGCCAATCAGAGACAAGCTCTGTATATATCTGAGACCTGTGATATATTGATGAAGAAGAGGATAATAGGGGACCTTTAAGAATTGTATTTTCCTGAGGCTTTTGTCCTAAGCAACCTCCAATGAGTGCAATCAACCATGATGATAGCCTTTCAGAAGAGCAAGGGTCCTGCAGTGATCTGTTATGTTAAATGTTTGTTGTTTGTTTTTCATGTATTGTGTCTTGATATTTGTCTACGTTGATGTTACACAATGAGCTGCTGTGATGCAAGTATTAAAGTATTATCGTATCGTATCGGCTCCAAATACGGCAGAATATGTACATACAGTGTCAGAGCTTAACTTGCAGTCAATGCATCACTTTATAAAAGTCGAGCAAAGAATGAAATCCATGAAGAGAAACAGTTCTCTAACTTGTGTTGAGCTGGAGGCGAGCTTCGCTGTTCCTGCGTCTCTTATATTCAGCTCATTGCGCTGATGCTTAGCATGGGTGGTGGAGCCGGTATCATTTAATAATTAGCTCTGTTTGAAAAGCACTAAAAAATCCCATTTAAACCCCAAGAGTGATTAATTCATGCTTTGGTTTACACATTGCATAAAGATTGAGAGTATTCAGGAAGTGAATAAAACCCATTAACGATGATTAATGTTCCTTTTATTTGATGATTTATTTAAACGAGTGCTCCGCAATCCTGAGCCCTTCACAGCACCATTACAGAAATGTGGGGACGTTTGGAACCAAAATAACTATTATCCTATATGTGTGCTTTCTTAAAGGCAAACACCATGGGAACTTCCCACTGATGTGCCTTGCTGCAGGATGATAATGAAGATCAGTCGGGCTTTAAACACCATACTGAAAGAAGCTCAGACTGTTGAGGATAGCTTTTAAATAAAGTTCCCAAATAGTTGATAAAGGTGTAGCACAGGGACACCAGAACATGGGCTTTAAAGTCCTCCAATCACCCCTTAACGAGAATATACTAGTTTCTCTGTATGCAATTTACGAATGGATTTAACTTCAAGAAATGTCCGTTGGGAGTTTCGAATTGTCTATCATTGCTTAGAAATAATCTTTTATTTCTAGTACTCAGGAGTAAAACCTCAACTAAAAAAAGAGACTAGAGGGGATCTACATATTTCCTTTGAGTCTGAATCCAGGATTTAGTCAGTGTCGTGTCTGGTGTCATTAATAATCAGGTTAATCCGGGGTTTGTTGAGTTGTACGCTCTGTGGGGTAAAGAGTGTGAGTTCCCACTGTGGTAAAATAAGCTGGATAACAGACTGACACTGATCCAACCAGCAGACACTCAGCAAACACATGCCTGCAACAACACGGTAATCTATCAGAGCTGCTTGAATATTGATCAGCTGGCGTGCTCGGGAAGAGCGCTCCGTATGAATATTCATGAGGGGAACGCCGACGCCGCTGCTGCTTACGAGGATACATTTACAAGAAGGAAAAAGATGCAGCGTGCCAATCAGAGCGGTGGCACACAGGAAAAGCATCTGTGCGCTGACACAACCGTTTCTTTTTAAAGTCAGGGCTCAACAAACAAAGAAAGAAGACACGACTCAAAGCCTGTTTGAAGATGGAGTTGCAAAATAAGGCAAATCCCCTCACAAGAGGAAATCATTCTGGTAGACAGACCTCCAAATCAAGAGCAATATCAGCTGAAAATATGTTTTGGAAAACTGGGAAAACTCATTCAGAGACTGTCATTAAGAGAAAGTGTCTCTGTTAAACACACTTGTGCCCTTTTTAACAACGTTTTCATCAATATCTGGGATTTGTTCTGAGGTAAACTAATAGCAGACTAACTCTTTTTTTGGAGTCCAGTCTCATTCCCTTTTAAATGTATTTGTGGGTATAATCCAATTGCCTACTTTCAATTCAAGTAGGCAATGGAAATTCATTATAAGAACACATCAAAACTATTCTTGTTTTCTAGATGCAAATTTAGGAAGACATCTGAGGAAGATATTGATAAATCAGCCCCATAGCTGTCATTGCTGTGACTAACCCTGACATGTGATGAACAACACGATTGACTGCAGCGCTGTTTCGGATTAAAGCGTCGTCTGCTTAAAGTTTCCAGGAACTCTCCGTCGAGCAATGCTTAGAAAGCCTCCTGGCACACTGACTCTGGAGGAGACAGATTTAAGTAACCTAATAACCAACATTATCACCTCAGCACACACACACTACTTCATGCGTCTGAGCTGAGTGGCGGCGGATTATATCGTTTATGTCACATCCTGACTACGAATAGAATGAAATAGACTACACAAACTGCTAAAGGATCTAACGTGGAGAGATCTGACCCGGGTGTAAATGATCAGACTGTATAACCTCATTTAATTGGTGGCTAAAACCGTCTTCTTCGTGGTTTTCTTTTGTCAAAGTAATTGATTGAAGCAAGGGCACTTTAACGCCAAAACCACAGACTTTATTTCTGGTTAACCACCAAAAACACATTCAAAAAAACCATTGACTTCCAGACCAGGGGACAGGAAGTGAGGAAATGAGTCATAGCAGGGTTTTAGGACTCAATGCAGCTCTCTTATCTAGTTTACACTCAATATCATTTAAAGATTTCACCCCGAGATATGTTATCCTTACCTGTGACATTGAGTCCGTCTGAGCGCTGGCACCAGACGAGGCGAGATGCAGCCCTCCAGGGTCCGGTCCTCCACTTGTACTCGAAACACTGACCCTCTGCAGGAAGAAAACATTTCAATACAGCCGTTAAAGACCATCAGACCATTGGTCAAGTTGGAGATGTTGATTAGGGTCTGTTGGCTTTGTTTTTGCGCTATATGTGTGCAAACTGGGTGTATAACTGTGTGTGTGTACTATATCTTCACTCCTACGTTTTCAGTTTTCTGTTTTCTGTTTTTGAACGAGGAATACCGGAGTAGGTGCAAAAACTCTGGATTTTACAGCCAACAATCACAAAAGCTATTTTGGTCAAGTTTGAGATGTTGATTAGCGTCTGTTGGCTATGTTTTGTGGGCATTATTTCTCAACTTCCAACATCTTACACCGCAGATTCAACGTGTGGAATAACGTGATTGTTGGCTGCATCCTATAATCTACACGGTTTGTTCAAATGTGGCTTTTGGATAAGACGTAAGGACATGAGGCGAAACAGCAGTTAGCCCCATCAATACTAGTTCTTATCTTAGGGTTATGGTTGCTGGTTTGGTTAGGGTTAGGGTGGTTGGTTTCGGTTAGGGTTGTTGGTTTGTTGTTAGGGTTAGGGTTAGGGTTGTTGGTTTGTTGTTGGTTTGTTGTTAGTTTGGTGTTAGGGTTGTTGGTTTGTTGTGTCAGGAGCTTCTTTCTGTAGATCTAAAGCTTCCCTCCTGCCTCTGCCGGACTGACCTGTGCACGGCCGAGCCTCCAGCTCCTGCTCCGGGCACTGCAGCAGGTTCTCTGGATCCTGAGCCACCACGGCTCGGGACCGGACCTGCACCGAGCCGAAACCCAGGTCATCCCCCCCCACACAGCTCAGCTGACACGGGCTCCACCGGTTCCAGTCCGTCAGGTAGCATTCACCTGCAGAACAGAGAGGTCAGTACTGAAAACACACCATGACTGTGCTGCTGTTAAGAAATATAACATTGTTTAAGCTAAAATCACAAGGGACATGAGTGTCTAACAACAACAGCAGATCATCAGGCAACGCACAGAATTAAAAACTAAACAGTAAACATGTAGGTTCATTCTTGACTTTCTAAACAGTAATTTTGAAAAGAACATGTGGTTGAAAGCATGGAAAATAATCTTTTAGGTAATCCTTAAAACTTTATTTTTTTAGTCAGATGTCTACTCTTGTTTCAGCCACAGAACTTCCTGCAGATGATTGATATTACAAACAGAAAGGAATACCACATGTTGATACCCTAGAATTGATGTTATGAACAGAAATGTTAAGTAACATTGAGAGTATTTAAACAGGGATTACAAATTAATCCAAATAGAGGAGATTGGATTGATGCATTCACATAACGCTAAATGCATCATGAGGACAGTTTGAGTTTGCTTTCATAACTAATCTAACAGGAAGGCTTACTAAAATATACAGGATGTGCTTATATAACAGTGGTATTAGAGAAAAGCTTCTGATTGTCAGGCTTTACAACGATACCATTTCACAGCATTTCAACTGGAGAGCCTTCAATCAGCACATCAGCCAATCAGGGTCAAGGACAGTTAGATTGATTGAGGACTCGTAGATTGATTGGTAACGTAATAAGAAACTGTAATTTTAACTTGAGCCGTGGAAAACTGAGTAATGTTAATCCGATTATCAAAGACATGATGTCCACTCAGGTAAATCCATCCACCTCCTGGATAAAGGTCAATGAAACCCAAATCAAAACGCCTTTATCAGAGATGTTCGTACCAAAGCCCTGATTCATTTCTTATGATCACGTTCTCCTGAGACCAAAGAGACAAATCCCTGTGATCTAAAGTCAGGGCTAAAGTGAGCAGTTAGAAAAAAAACACACATTTTTCTCACTTCTATTCAAATAGTTTTCTTTTTCCGAACGGACGTCGGCGAATCTGAAGAGTCCTGTTTGACCTTGTGGTCCCCACTAAGCCACTTAACGTGATTATGTGCTGATTACTCCCACACACACACTCCAAGCTGGAGTACTACACACACACACACACACACACACACACACACACACACACACACACACACTGTTCTTTTGCCAGCCAGTGAAAGCATTCTACTGAGGCATAATAAACCCTGACAGCTACACAGACACACACACTCTCACACACTCACTCACACACACTGTCCGCCCACCTGTTGAGTGAAACACTCTGCAGCTCTTGAAGCTCTTGCAATCAAACACACTCGACGGAAAACGCAGCGACGGCCGAGGCTTTGTTGTTATTGTTCAATCTGGAATAATCTCCATTAGAGGTGCTAGAGGTCGACAGACATAGAGTACTGGTTTATTTCCATGTCGTCCAACCAGTGTAATGTCTAACCAGCAGACAGCATCAACGGGTGAAGCTCTGCAGACCCTGTGCAGATTTAGATTACAGATCTGTCTTTAGGACACAGAGATTATTACTTTCAATTGGTTTAAAATCAATCCAAGTTTCTATCAGATCACCAGGTAAGATGAGATCCTTTTGACCACCAGGAGAAACGTGCTGCAGCTTCAGAAAGGATGCAGATATAAAAACCCAAATGTTCCAAATGAAGAAACATCTTCAGCAACTTGACAACACGTGCAGCTTTTAGAGAACATTCAGCAACTTGAGGAGACATGCTAAAAGCTGCAGATGTTTGCAGTGTTTCCTGCCGGCATCCTTCAGCCCACTCTCTACAACCCAGAGTTCCCACAGTGAGTATCCATAGGGAGGAAATAACCTCACCACCAGCACATCAACACGTCTCATTAAAGACCACGTTAGCCCGACAAAACCTCTGCTTCTTCAGGACCCAACACTCCGGATTAAAGCAATGCAACGACCCACCCAGAGCTCAATGACTGAACAAGGTGCCGCTAAAGGCCCTGACACACCAAGCAGTCACCAGAGAACTCGCCGATGCCGACTGTTGCGTCGCCGTGTTCTCCTGCGTCTTGGCCGTGTGTCACACTGGAACACACCGCAAAGACTTCAGCCGAGCACGTACGAACTGCGCATGCGTGAGTGGCATTAACTCTCCTTACCAGCAGGCGGCGGTAGTGTGTATTCGTCATTCAAAAGAGGCAACAACCGGAAGACAGAGAAGAAGAACAGACCGCGTGATCTAAACAAACAACAAATAGCGTGTGCGTTCCATTTTCACTCTCGTCCATCGAAAACATGTTTCGTGCGGTACTGGAGCTATCAGCCATTGGAGTGTTGCTCGTGGAAGACATTCTCAAGCAACCGTTTCGCTTCTCATGCACTGATTCGCTAGCTGAACAGCCAATCAGAGTGATTTCTTTGTCCGACTGCCTGTGGCCGACGCACATGTTGAATCGGCCGTGCGTCGGCCATGAAAGGCCAAATAAGGCGTGTCATGGCCGACGGTGCGAGACACACCAAATTGAGTTTGGGCGACAGGGCACGCTTCGTCGTCCGACTAACGAAAACGGCCGATTTCGGCATGTTGTGTCAAGGCCAGGTGTCATTGAGAGGTCGCCTCCCTACATTTGATTCTAGAGTGATTTGATGAATGAAAGGAGATCTCCTCCCGCTCGGACTCTTATTCTCTATTTATCTCCGTAAACTCTTTGAGATTAGATGAAGTCATTGATCAGAGTCACAGCATTATTGGACAAAGCTATTCATAGTCCTCACCTGGACTAGACATTAAACTGGTAAGACAACAAGGAACTAAACCAGTACTCTGTGTTTGTCAACAACAAAGCCTCGGCCGTCGCAGCACTTTGCGTATCTCTTTAATAACTTGAGGCTATCCTTTAGAGCAGGGGTCACCAACCTTTTTTAGGGTGAGGGCTACTTTCAAAAAATAAAACAAGTCTGGGGCTACTTTTACTCCTCTTTTTTTTGTTTTTTGCAGTGTATATATTTAGCACATTTTAACATTATGATATGCTTACCTTTAACCTTTGTGTGCTGTTTGGGTCTGTGGGACCCGTTTTCAGTGTTTACTAAAAGAACATGTATTCAATTTAATTATTTTAACCTGTTTTATTTGGGGTTGGACGGGCCTCACCTCCTCTAGGGGGGGTCCTCACCTCCTCTAGGGGGGGTCCTCACCTCTTCTAGGGGGGTCGGGGGGCATGCACCCCCGGGAAGATTATTTTTTAATGTTGAAGTGAAATGCATCAATCTGGAGCACTTTGAGCACAACATGAATTGATGGATACAGCTCTCAACACTCAGATGAAAGGGAGCTGTATACTTTTCAATAATCCAAACATCTTTAGAATATAATCACAATCAATAACAAATCATTTAAACTGGTTTATTCTTATCTTATGTTACCTAGTTAGCATTCTTTCTTTTTATTTATGCTTATTTTACTAATCACTCTCCTTTCAAACTGTTTTTTGTTTTTTTTACTGTCCTATAGTACACATTGGATTGATTTCTTACTTTATCTATATTAAATAGATAAAGTTATGCTCTCCCTAGCTCTCTCTCTCTCTCTCCCTCCCTAGCTCTCTCGCTCGCTCTCTCTCTCTCTGCCTCGCTCGCTCACAGAGGCTGTGTGCTCCTCCGTGGCGATGATGGCTTGCGTTAAAAAAATAAAATAAACATATTTGTAAAGTGGGGGGACACAAACGGGATTTCGAAAAGAGCGGGGGACATTTCCCCCCTGTCACAGGTGGAAATTACGCCATGCGTGTGTGTGCGTCAAGTGCAATAAATATATGCAAGTTGCAGCACACAGAGTAAAACTCTGCCCCTCATGTGTTGTATAGGCTGCATGATAGGCTGCTCAATGGGGCTGATGTGTTGTGTAGATTCTGCCAGAAGGGAAATCAGCGGGGAGGTGCCACATTGCTTTTCTTCCCGACTGCAACGCTGGTCCCGCAAATCAAGCAAGAACGTGATTGGTCGATATTCATTGTGGGGGTGGGGGGAGGAGGGGTGTTAGATAGATATAGAGTTTTAGTAAGTAGATAGAGTTCGCTATGATTTAGGTTTCGTTTATGCATAGGGTAGATTCTTTTAATTACATTTCCTTTTTTGTTTTGTGTATTTTATACATTTTGGATTTGCTTGGCGAGCTATTTTTAGAACATGCCCCGCGGGCGACTCACGTTGCCCCTGCGGGCGACTAAGTGCTCGCGGGCACCGTGTTGGCTACCCCTGCTTTAGAGTATCAGGGAGGTTTTGTGGTTGCTTGTTGCAGGAGTAGTGTCTTTAAGCTGTATGATATGAACCATTAAACACTGAGTGTGTGATGAGTGTGTGTGTGTGTGTGTGTGTGTGTGTGTGTGTGTGTGTGTGTGTGTGTGTGTGTGTGTGTGTGGTGTGTGTGTGTGTGTGTGTGTGTGTGTGTGTGTGTGTGTGTGTGTGTGTGTGTGTGTGTGCTCACCTGGACAGGGCACGGTGCAGGGCTCCTGCAGGACGATGTTGGGGTCTCCCTCCACTGAGGGCTCCAGGTCTGAACACAGCTCCTCCTCCACCAGGCTGCTGTCCTCCTGCCCCGAGCCGTCTGACACGAAGCACGAAACGTTCCTGAAGCGCAGGCCGTCTCCACACCGAGCGCCCTGAGGAGACAAAGATTCAAGATTCAAGATTCAAGGCTTTATTGTTATTTGTACATAGCTACAGTGTAGATATGTGATAGATGGATAGATGGGTCAAACCCAATTTCATGGCGGGCCACATCAGCATTATAGTTGCACTCAAAGGGCCGGTTGTAACTTTAAGACTATATAAATATATAACATATATAAAATAATGTATTATATTACATTATTGCCTCTGCATTGGATTATTATCAGATAGGGTAATAACTTCATAATTAACTACGTCTGAAAGCAGAAGTCTCGGGCAAATAATTGCAAATAATTGAAAGTCTCTTCAGTGAGTCTCACAAAATGAGATGCATTGTGGGACATGTAGTTAATGGACAAAGTGCTTCTGTAAAGCGGCATCAAACCGTATAATAAACGTATTATATTCTTGCAGAGCTCTTGCGGGCCACAGAAAGTGAAGTCACCCCTGATTCACTAAAACCTATAGAACACAGGATGAACTGATGTTGACGGGCTGACGGAGGACACTGACCTCTGACTTGCAGTCGGACCAGGCTTCGTAGCTCCAGCTGTAGCAAGGCTTCACCAGGCAGGGTTTCCACTGCTTCATCTGGGTGGGGCAGGGCCGTCCGTCTCCCTGGGGGGTCTGAGTCACGGTCCTCCTCCTCCACAGCTTCCCTGAACACAAGAGAGGGGAGAGAGGATGAATTATGTATTCAGAGAGAGGGACAGTTTCATCCCACAGGCCATAAGACTGCTAAACACCTGAGCTCTGTTCATTTCATTTCATTTGTATTTGTTCCATTCATGGTATGCACAACTTAATGTATAACAAAACATGTCTCTATAAACACACCGTACCTGTAAAGGAGCAGGGAGAAGAGAATAATCTGATATTATCTCAAAATATAATAAATAGAAATAGATGGTCTGTCCTTCATATGTTCTTATTCTCAGCCAATCACAACAGTATCGTAGGAAAATAAGAGAAACACAAAAACGTACAAAAAAATACTTAGTTCCTACTTGACAGTTAACGGAAAGAAACAAAACAACAATGACACCAAAACATCACATGTACAAGGAAAAGTGTGCATAATTGAATTTCATATTCTGTTCTTGTACATATCATATTCTATTTACATTTAATTTAATTGTATTATACATGTTGCATTGTTGGAGGAGCAGGTCAGAAGAATTTCATTGCCATTTCTACACTGTAGCTTATGAGCAGATGACGATAAAACCTTTGATGGTGGGTCAGAAATGTAAGGAAGAGAAAGAGAAACTGCATCAAGGTGACCTCTGGACCTCCAATCAGAGCTTCAAATGAGGACCAGCATGAATAAAGAGACAAATTAAAATAAATGTCTCTGAATTCTAAGATTTACAGAATTGGATTAGGGGCACACTGGAAATCACAAAATGAATCTCAAAATGTCACAATTCTATTTTTTGGCAACAAAAAAATATATATATTCAGATTTTATCTGTATCACAGAGTTTTGAAAAAAATCATATTTGAGATTTTTTTTCTGGAAACCTCAGAGTTATAAAAAAAAAACTTGAATCTTAGAATTTCTGACTTTTTTCTCGGAACTCAATTTTTTTTTAACTCTTGGTCAGATTTCCATTTCACACATGTGGCCCTAATCCTCTTCCTTGAAACACGTAAACAGTAAGCTTATCCAAATATCACAATATTAATATCTTACTTTTGGAAAACCTCAATAGCAAATGTTCTAAAAGGATAATGGAACATTAACACGTTGTTCCATTAAGTGAAGAAATGGCTACATATTGTGTGTTAAACCAGATGGTAATGGTTTATGACTTTGGTCCCATTTCTACATTTGGGTGAATGTCCTCTCCTTATTTTCCAGGGAATACAGCCTTTTCATTATTCAATAATTCATCACGATGGTGCAATTCTGGGACTTCATCATCCTCCCTGAAGCCATTTTTTGGATATCCAGACTCCTTTGTTGTGCTAAAATGAAACTCGGGACTGTGTGAGGTTGGGGGATACGAGAGAGTGAGTGTGTGCGTGTATGTGTGTGTGTGTGTGTGTGTGTGTGTGTGTGTGTGTGTGTGTGTGTGTGTGTGTGTGTGTGTGTTAGGAGCGCCCTTTAACTAAATTCACTCTGCATTTTAACAGAGTGCCCGAGGGGAGGATGTGAGAAAACTCTCAATTAGCGGCCGTCTCAGAGGGATTGCATGTGGTTTTTATTTCACCGTACCTCCTTAAACCCATACATGCAGCAATACATCTTTAAACTGCAATATAGAAAAGCTCTGAATATTGAAGAAATTTGTATTTAAAGGTACATTTTGTAAGAAGAATACAAATATAAAAAAATATGTATTTGTATTCTTCTGAATAAATGTAAAAAAAAAACTCCAATATTTTTTCCTTTTTTCAAATTCATGCAGGATTTATTCATATCTGTATATATCTATATATTAATTTAATATTCCATTCCCTACACACTCTTAATGTAAATAATATCCTGCTTTATATTGTGTCTAAAGCCTTCAATTGTGTTTTATTGTCAGAGTTTATAGATTTTGTATCTTCACGGTCTACTGTATATTTTCTACTTGTAACGCTGCTTTAATTCTACTTTGAGATGTTTAAATTCTAGTATTGTTTATTTCTACTCTTCAATTTCTAGTTATGTGCAATGCCTTGTTTGTTATGCTGCTGCAACGCAAACATTTCCAAATAAAGTACCTCTTATCTTGGCACAATTTGACCTAAAGTAGCAACAATTATGCTTTTAACTTGAGTTTGTTAAACTCAAAAATATATCAATTTATTCCCAAAAAAACAAATTCACTTGATTTCCTCGTGGATTCATCTTCTTATTATAGACACATGCATTTCTAAACATTTGGTCTACCTATGCTGTAAAATGTATTATCTTTTCAATTTACACACGGCATCTATTGCACGTCTGTCCGTCCTGGGAGAGGGATCCCTCCTCTGTTGCTCTCCCTGAGGTTTCTCCCATGTTCCCTTTAAACTGAGGGGTTTTCTCTGGAAGTGTTTCCTTGTACGATGTGAGGGTCTAAGGACAGAGGGTGTCGTATTGTCATACTGATATTCTGTACAAACTGTGAAGTCCACTGAGACAAATGTAACATTTGTGATATTGGGCTATATAAATAAACATTGATTGATTGATTGATTTCAATTCAGTAGATCTGGTCTTGCACAGTCAACCTGCCTTCTTCAGAAATGGAAACTACTTAATGCCTTTAAGAAAAAGTTCAACACGTGAACGTTCTGGTTTTTGTAGAAATATATATAAAATTGTTGTTTTATTTTCTTCTGCAGCACTATAGAAATGATATTGCCACCTTCTTGGGGGTCCCGACACGTAGGAGATCTTTACCACAAGCTGCAAACGTTTGTTAAGTTAACAAAGTTATTATGCCGAATAAAAACTAAAGTGAATTTGAATCCCAGATGTCAGATCCCTCTCCAGTGTCTTTGTACAGAAGATGCTCTCTCCTCCATCACGATGCTCCAGCGTTTCCCTGCAGGCGGCCATGCCAGTGTTTGGGGTTGAGCGAGGGGTGGCAGTGATGCATGCTGGGTGAAATGCGTAGCGTGCCAGCTGTCACTATCAGTGTTTGGCTGCAGAACACACACTGCTGTGATAATCTATGCACACAGAGTGTAGAACATCTCTGTGCTGTTGCAGGTACCTTCACTTTAAATCCAGCTCATTGATATTCCTGGCTGAGGATCAGGAATCAAACTCTTCATGGGAAGGAGAAGATAAAAGAAACACAGGAAGCAGAGCGGGAAGGACTTCCTGCTGTTCCTGGGAAAGAAAGCCTGGTCTCTGCATGGCTAGGTTAAGAAAAAATTAAGTATATCTAATTATATATCTATGATAACGTGCAGTTACGTATCTGCCACTACTAAATACTGTTAATATTTACTCAATGTATAACAATTATTAACAAACTCTGTAAACACACCGTACCTAAAAAGGAGCAGGGAGAAGAAGATAATCTTATATTCCCTGCCCCCTTTCTCCAAAAAACTATAGATGGTCTGTCCTTCATATTTTCTTATTCACAGCCAATCATTAAAGTATCGTAGGAAAATAAGAGAAACACAAAAACGTACAAAAAGACTTAGTTTCCCACTAGACCAGAGGTGTTAAAACTCAAGGCCCACGACTTCATTCTATGTTCCTGGGAAAGAAAGCCTGGCCGCCCGGGGACAGATTAAGGTTACCTCGGTATCTAAAGCCGGTGTTGGTTTCATATCTGCTGTGTTCATGGACTGAGGATCTTCTCAAGGACTGCTGGAGAGCAGAGTGCTCCCCGAGCCCCTGAGCAAACACTCCTAATGCAGCGCCAATCAATGCCCTGATCCTCTGGAGTCACACGCTCCGACATTATTATCCTCACTCGGTAACATCATCGTCTCTCACAGCGCTTCTGGCTTCCAGAGTTAATGCATTATGGGAACATTTTAAAGGACATTCCACTGGTGTTTCTGTAGAAAGATCCAATAACACTCAACCAGTTCAAACCGAGCGATGTCAAGTCTGAGGAAACAATCCTCTCCATGTCACCGGGGTTTTCCGATCTCAGTTTGAGACAAAAACATATTATAGTAACAGTAAGATCATCGTCTCTCACAGCGGTTCTGGTTTCCAACATTAATGCAGCCTGATTACTCACGGCTCTGAGAGGCAGCCATGTTGGAGCTTTATTGAAGTGTAATCCAATAATATCAATACCTACATTAAGAGACGTTAAAATGGCATCATTTACCTGGTTTCTCTGACTCATAGGAAGCTCCCCCGTGATAAACCATTTACAGCGATGTATGAAATGAGTGTTTGTGATGTAATGCAGTAAAACGTTATGGCTCCTTCAGTTTTTATGGATACAGCTAATGTGAAAAAGACGCTTAAAAAAGCCAATAAAATCTGACATTTACGAGATCTCCTCCTCTTCAGTCAAACGGTAAACATGTTTTCTAACCTGGGATGTTTTATTTTGAACATTTAAAGAGAACGAAGTATGGAGAAATCATGGCTAGGTTTAGTCAAATTAAAGTATTTCTAATTCTGTATGGTTTCCAGATGTTTGAAATCTGCTTTTCAGCCAATATGGAGAAGAAGCTCATTTTGAACTCCTCCACACCGACTGGGTAAACCACATGGAGCATATCACGTGGACCACTAAATGGATTTGTGGTAATATATAGATTTAGTTTTCCACTATAGTATTTCCTTTCCGAACCCCAAATAGCTCACAGTAACTTGATCCGTCTCATGTCCTGATTACTGGCAAAGAGTTAATGCGTTATGGGAACATCTTAAAGGCGATTCCACTGGTTTTACTGGAGAGAGATCGAATAACACTCAGCCAGTTCAAACTGAGCAAAGATGAGGAAATAATCCTCTGGATGTCACCAGGGTTTTTCTATCTCAGTTTGAGCCTGAAGACATATTATATGTCTCAGCGAGGCAGGCTCTTATAATGGGAACGTATCACTGGCATCCCTCAGGGCTCCTTTCTGGGCCCCTTTTCTCTTTTTTCTGAACACCAAAACACTTTGTAATTCAGTCACTTCTTCTACCAAAGCTATCAGAATCAGAAACAGGTGTTCTACCAGGTTGGTTAAAACATACGAGGAATTTGACTTTGTAAGTTAAGGTCTGTACTAGTTCAGTTCATCCAAGTGGACGTTTGTACCAAATGTGAAATAATTTCCGAAAGGGGTTCCTTGGATATCCGTTCATGAGAATGGGCAACTGGAAAACAATCAAATATGAGCCAAAACTGTGGACTTAATCCATCGCAAATGAAACAGTCCATGGTAGTTATGAACACAGGAATAAAAATGAAACCATAATTTCCAGGAGATAAGACGCAGTGATTTATATATGTTTAAAACTAAATCTATATGGCCTGCTCTCCCATGATATTATACAGATGTTGGTTCCTAAAGTTAGAACAGAACGGGAAAACACGCTTTTAAATATGCTACCCTTCTGCCTGGAGTAATGTACTGAAGGAGCTGAAACTGTCAGATTGTATCACTATAAAACACAAACACTCTTGGTCGATGTGATGGCTTTTATATCCCCTAATTGAAGTCGTTTTAAAATTGTGCCATTTCTATGTTTTACAACAGCTGTATTGTCTGCGTTTTATTTGTTGTAACATTGTTGATGCCGCCCTCTTGACCAGGTCGCTCTTGAATAAGACATTTTAATCTCAATGAGACTTTTAACCAGGTTAAATAGAAAGGACATGAACAACATGAAACACAGGGCTGCACACACTTGTAACTAAATCCATTATTCTAAAAAGACTTGGTCATTCAGTCTCTTCTTCTACCACATCTATGTAAGTTAAGGTCAGTACTAGTTCAGTTCATCCAAGTGGACGTTTGTACCAAATTTGAAGGAATTCCCTAAAGGCGTTGATTTGTTCCAGGACATGAACAGGCGCTAGGTCGCTTTGGATTCAATCATCATTACTTTCCAACAGAGAAACGCACTTGCAGCTAAATCCAATATTCTACACACGAAAAACATGACAAAACCAAACCAGAGGGTCATTGGATGTAATGGAAACACACTCGTACCTGCCAGTCCACAGGTGTGTGTGCACTCCGACCACATCGACCAATCAGAGAGCTGACAGTTGACGGGACATTCGACCACACAGGAAGCGTTCATCTGCCACTTCCTGTCCAGGCCCAGCTGCAGGAGGAGAGGTGGTGTTATTTACTCTGTGTGTGCGTGCAAACTGTACGTCAGGGGCGTCCAAATGCGGCCTGTTCTAATTGGCCCTCATCAAATTGTTAAAGTATAAAGGTATATTGCCCCCACCTGAAACTTGTGCTTGTTTTATATTGTACTTCTTAAATATATATGTGAGCCTATATTACACTGTAGTTTCCATGTGTTAATAAGCCCACTAATCAAAGACATTCAGTCGATTAGAGCTGAGAACATGTGTTTCCATGACAAGCTTTAAACAGACCCTTCATATTTCCCCTTATTATAATCAATCTGCTTTAAGGGATGAGCTGCAACAGGAGAACTGAAACCCTCTGGAGAGCTGGGATGTTTCTTAAATCCTATTCAAGTAGAAAGCATAATTGAAATACATTTGATTGATTTTGCTGAATTATAACTGAACTTCTGAGGCTAAATACCTCTAGTGAGCGGCCCAGCCCTTTGTATGTTTTACTGTATGTGGCCCTCAATGAAAAAGGTTTGGACACCCCTGCTGTACGTGAACTGTAACAGGAAGAGCCTCAGGACTCACCTCCTTACAGAACTTCAGGTCCACAGACTTCCCGTCGCTGCGAACACAATCCAGCATCCGGGTTTTAATCCCGTTTCCACAGACCGCTCGCTCACTGAGCTGACAGGTACTCCAATCTGCAGAGAGACGCTCAATGAGACTCGTGCAGAAACAATAAAATGTAACATCGTTGTACTGTACAAATCTGCAGACAGACGCTCAATTACACACAAACAATAACACGTCTCTAAAGCAAACGCTAGCGAGATAGCTAACAATCGCTAGTTAGCTTGTTAGATGCGTAGCAAAGGTAAGCTAGCTAACTACATCATAGAAATCAAATGTAAGATAGCTTGATTTAGAGACAGATAGCTAACGTGTCTTCATAGCTCCTCATAGCAGAGCACCTACACCACAAGACTCGACAGAGGTATTAAACATGTCCTCATGAGATGTTACTGTCATGTCCTCCTGCAGTCAGTGTGCAGTGCAGAGTATCTTTACATACATAGGAATAAAGAGTGAGATAAGAACAGTATAAGCAATAAGGTGTATAGTACAGTATTGGGAAAGGTGTATTTTACAGTAGAAATGTGATGTTCAAACTAAAGATCACACAGTCAGGTCAGTACCGGGAGAATAAACACACCGTGAATCAGATATATAAAGTTTAAACTGTGGTATAAATATGATAGTGTTACCGGTGATGTTGTATGAGTAGTGGAAGCAGTTGGTGTTGAGTTTGCAGATCTCCGTCTCCTCAGATGGAGGACACGTCTTCCCGTCTCCAGGCTGACGGAGGGGGGGCGCCGTCCTCTCTCTGGAGCTGTTCCCCCCACAGGGCTGACGGGAAGAGAGGATATTAGTGAGCAGAACCTTAAGATCTCTTCAGCTAAGGTTAACCACAGACCTTATGTTAGTATTCATGCAGTCTATGAAAAGAGTCTTGTGAGCACACTGACTTCACACCACTCAACAGGACTAAACCCTGATCAGGATCTGATTGCAATCACATCAAATTCAACTGTGTTGTCGTGTGCTGTTGTGTGACACAGTGTGCGACAACATGATCTGTCCCCAACTGACAATTTTTGCCCATTTATGCTTAAACATTTATCTCAATTTGTATTATTATAAACAGTCCATAGCTCGGGATAGCATGTGTTTTAAATATGCATAAAGATAACAACCTCCACAGGATTGCTGGCTAAAGGACCGCAACTCTGAATAGTTATCACTGCAATAAACTTTAAAATTTAATTTCATCTTACTTTACAATATTTAATTTTACATTCTGTTCTTGTATCATATGACATTGTGTTTCCTGACTGTTCTCATCTGTCCTCTCACTGCACACAGAACACAGAGCCCTAACAGAGGGATTTGATGTGTTTCATATATATAAGTATATAAGTACCAGGGGACAGGGGGTCCAGATCCCCCAGTCTGAGAGCACACAGTCCTCGGGGCAGGGCAGTCGGCTGTTTCTGGCTCCGAGGGGCATCTCCTCCGGGTCGCAGAGGTAATCCTCCACCTGCTCCGAGGGCCCGTCGATGGTGTTCAGCATGCACCTGCACACACAGGGGGGATTAATGATCAGAATGATAACAAAGTATAAAATAAATAAATAATAGTTATATTGATAATAATAATAATGATGTAAAAACAATTAAAAATACAATCAAATAACAATAATAATAACAATAAGGATAATAATACAAAAATAATATTAATAACAACTATCATTAAAACAATTATAGTATAAATTAAAAAGTGTATTAAAAAAACATAAAAACAAGACGAATAGTAATAACTTTGAGAAAGCCCCAGTGTGTTTCTTTATTATCCGTGTTTCTTCCGGGTCTCTCTTACCTGACTTTGCGGGTCTGCACCCCCTCCCCACAGTTCTCCTTCAGGTCCACGTTGCTGACCTTCCAGACGCTCCACGGCTCAGACATCCAGACGTACTGACCGCAGTCACTGAGGCACGGCACCACCTCGTACACCTGGAGCACGGGAAGATAAACAGAAATACATGAAGAAACCACAGAAACAAACTCAGAAAAATCACGTAAAAAATACTTTAAAACTCAAAAACAAGTATTGAAAAACTCGCAAAAAATATAAAAAACACATAAAAAGACCTGAAGAAACCACATAAAAAAACACACAACAATCAAGTAATAAATACCCAAAAAAACACAACTATATAAAAGAAACACACAAAAATCACTTAAAAAATACACAAAAACACACATGAAGAAAGCACATAAAAAACCAAGCAGAAATAAGTTAAAAAAAGGCACAAAAATACATAAAAGACACGAAAACAAATAGTGATACATAATCAGCAGGGTTCTTACCTGAGCCTGTGGATAGAATCCATTCATGAAAGAAGAGAAATAAAGAAAATGAAAATAATTAAATGAGATTATTATATTCAGGGCTTCAACAGAAGTATATATTAAGTAATATATTAACATTAATACGCTCCTATTTATCATAATATAGAATTTTTTACATATGTATTGTAAATATCTAATGTGCACATTTTTACTTCTCTCTGTTTATTTACATATTTTTCTTTTAATATATTTCCTTCTAAAAATGGTGCAACTTTTAACAAAATCCAATAAGACCGGGACAAATAATAAGACACATCCACCCTTTTAAGCATTTAAGCATTTAACCCCACCCCCCCCCCCTCTTTACCTGGTTGACGTGGTCCAGTTTGGGGCAGGGTCTCCCCCCGTTGTACGGCTTCTCTCGGAGCCACTTGGACCGGACCTTCACTCCGCTGCCGCACGACTTACTGCAGCGAGACCAGTTGGACCATTCGCTCAGTTTGCAGTCTGAGGGACACGGGATGATGCACGCCTCCTCGATGTAGCCTGCAGACATAACAACACATTCACAATCATCATCATCATCATCATCATCATCATCATCATCATCATCATCATCATCATCATCATCATCATCATCATCATCATCATCATCATCATCATCATCATCGTGCTATCTAAGACGAGAAGAGAGACTCTACAGACTTCCAGCATCTCTGGATGTCTGTGCTTATTCTGAAATACCAGAGTCCCTCAACAGGAAGAGGTTAGCTTTCCTCGAAGGCGTCCATAAGATCTGAAATGAGTTCATATTTGGTGTGGAAACAGAGGCCATCAAATCTAGAGTTATCGACCATATATCTGCTGTAATGTTGGGGGATTCCCAGACCCAATGACGTCACGGACTCACAGGAAGTTGTAGTTCCACCGTTTAGCCACTACGGAAATGAGCTTCTATATAGCTGAATACGATACGCATGTATTTTGGCCTCACCGTGGCTGTTGCAGCGCGACGTCTCCACGATGCGGTTGTCCTGGTCGTAGCACACCATGGCCTGGAACCTGTACCCCTGCCCACACTCCTTGATGTCTCCCTGCACCTTCATGCCCAGAGAGCCCTCCAGCCGCCCCCCGTCCGGCAGCACACAGTCAGACCAGTTGCCCACCGGCTGGGCGTTGTACTTGTTGCAGGGGCAGTACTGCGTCTCGCTGAGAGGGAACACCTGGTTGTTCTTACACTGGTCGCGCTTCTTACTCTTACCTGCAGAGAACGATGGAGAACGTTTAAGAGATTTAAAACTAAATTGTTCTGCAAAATCCCCCCCTACATTATCCCCCCTGCACTAAACCTGGCTGTCACTATATTGTTTTACACACTGTACCCATCCTGTTACATTCATATTCATACAGTTATATCTCTCTATTCGTATGCATACTTAAATGTTTATACACAATACTATACCTGCTGTTTATACATCTGATTTATTTTAAGTTTTATCTTGTTTTGTAATGTCTTATATGCTAGTTTTTGTCTTATCTGTTAGTTTCTATGTGTAGTTTTTGGGATATGTAGTTGTGGAGAGCTGAACGTCAGTAATCACTGTGCAGTGCTGCTGCCTGTCTTACTGTATACATGACGATAAGATATCTTGTAACATTGAGGCAGATTGGTGTAAAAACATGTGTACAGTCATATTTTAAAGTCCTCTTTCCGCTCTTTCTCTCCAGAGGATCCCAGCGAGATGTCACTCACCGACCAGCGTCCTCTTGCGGGTCCGGACCCCCACACAGTCCACGCTGCAGGAGGAGAACTTGGACCAGAGGCTGAGCTGACAGGTTTCCTCACAGGGAAGCTGGCAGAGCTGAGTGAGGGGCGGCATGGAGCTGGAGAACTGAAGACACGCCTCCACATCCGCCTGGCCGCCGTCCTGCTTCCTGCACGACACCGCTGCAGAAACACAGATTCACCAGGGGTTAGAGGAGGAGGAGATGCAGAGTAAAGCTGCAGGAGGAGTCCTAAACACTTCAATATCCTCACTTCCTGTCCCCTGGCCTGGAAGGCAATGTGTTAGGATGATTATCAACCAATCGTCTGTCAGCTACAAGAGCAAAGCTTGTGTTGCCTCTCCTGTAGCGTGTTCTATAGGTGTTAGTGCATGTACATGGTCTGCAAAGACTCAAATCCCTAATCCCCTACATCTATCTAAGCAACTTCAGATGCAATGCAGCTTTAGTATTATGAATCCTTAAGTAGATGTGATTGAAGCACTACTTAATATGCCCTTAGTAAAACTGTCTCTTAGTATGTTTACAATAAAAACACTTGAATATCTAGTCATTGTTCCACCTCTTCTCTTAAACCCACAGCATGTACTACACACACACACACACACGCACACACGCACCACACACACACACACACACACACACACACACACACACACACACACACACACACACACACACACACCACACACACACACACACACACACACACACACACACACACACACACACAGTGAAGGCAGTAAAAGGCTGTCTCCTCGTGCGTCTGTATTGAGTGGAGGTGAAGAGGTTCAGAGGTGGAGTGTGTGCAGCTCAGAGGATTGTGTTCCAGGTAATGGAGCTTAATGACAGGAGACTCCTCAGCTGGAGCAGCAGATCCTCCAGTCAGATGTAATGGTTTCTGTCTGAGCATGCACGGATAACACGTCCACTGACGGCTTCAATACACACACTTCTATAAGTAGCTTAAAGGAACAGTGCATGTCTTATTCTGCAGGGAATAATAGTACGTTTATTTATACCGAGCTGTAGGGAAGTCAACACCCTAAATGTTATAACAGCCATTGTGTAAAAACAAGATGTCCTTTTCCCCCGACGGCTTTGAAGACAATGATTTTATAAAAGCAAGAATGAGACAAAGCTGCTCTTTTTACCAATAATTACTGCATGTCTTATGTCATAATATTTTATTAATGCCAGCGTAAATGTCCCCGCTGTGGGACTGATAAAGGAATTCTGATTCTGAATCGTACGGTGGCTAACAGGTGCCAACGCACTACAACGAACCAAACCTCTGACATTAGAAGAAACGTGCTGCAGCTTCAGAAAGGATGCAGATATAAAAACCCAAATGTTCCACATGAAGAAACATCTTCAGCAACAACACGTGCAGCATTTAGAGAACATTCAGCAACTTGAGGAGACATGGCAGCGTTTACTAAAAGCTGCAGAAACCAAACGCTGCAAATACAAAACGCTGCAGGTGTGTGTCCGTGTGTGTCCGTGTGTGTCCGTGTGTGTCCGTGTGTGTCCGTGTGTGTCCGTGTGTGTCCGTGTGTGTCCGTGTGTTTTCACGTCCTCACCTCTGATCTGTAGACCCGGTCCACATGTCTCCAGAGCCCCGACGCTGTCCTGCCGTACGGACCAGGGCACCAGCTGACAGCGCCGCCACTTGTGGATTTTCCATCTGTAGAAGTAGAGTTGAACTGCAGTCACACTAAATACAAAGCTTGAGGTATTCTAGCTACTATTTCAAAATGTAGAGCAGACATAAGTGTGTGAAATATATGTTCTGCAAATGGCTGTATCCTTTGTATACATATTAATTTAGGATTTAATTTAGCATGCCTGCAGAATCTGTGCATAATGTCAGTGCATAATGTGTGTATTTCTTTCTGCTGGACAGTACCTGTATCCCTGACACACTGACGGAGCCTCACACTCCCTCTCCTGGTTCAGGACTTCGGGACAGTCCTGCCCCCCGTTGGCTGGAGTCTGGATCACAATACGCTTCCTGAACTGCTTCTTCTTGGTGTTTCCACCTGAGCAAAGACACAGAAAACACACATTTATACCAGTCCAATTAGGTATCTAGTTCAAGCTGAGTGTTGATAAGAAACTGGCTACTGGGGATACATGTGAAATCCAAAATGCAGCAGAGAAACACAACTAGATCACGACTCTCCCCACATCAGTATCAGTTCTCTTTAGCCGTGTATCTACATATGGTTGAAACACCTTGTAAAGTCATGCAGCATTAGCCACCAGCAGGTGTGTTTGTACTGCAGCCATTAGTGGAGAGACAGAGACACAGAAAACATCCAGACATGGTCAAAATACACAAGATCTTACACTATCAGAAGTGTTTGTCTATAGCCGTTTATTGCTAAGCTATCACTAACAACTTGTGCTGCAGGAAGATGTGTTTGGTGTCCATGCAGTTGTATTTCACTGAGTTATGAAGACGTGAACAATGCTGTCTGTTCAGAAGTGAGAAGACAGACATACTGACTCTGTGTACAGATACAAGAGAAAGGAGTGAGTAAAGGATGTGTGCAGCAAAGCCTCGGGGGATGTGTATAGGGTAAATACAGCAAAGCTCAGGGGAATAAGAGCCAGAATGATGTGACCCTCTGATCCCCCTGATCCGATCACCAATGCACTAACCCACTGCGCCACACGCCTCCCTGTTCAACCCCAACGTCTCTGCCAACATCATATCATCATTCTCTATCTCTTTATTAAATAACCCCTTAGATATCTTTAGGTAAAAAGGATCTTCCATCTTTGAGTGATGATGCTCACCCCCTCCACTTGGCAACTCCCTAAATATTCCTTTTCTAAAAATGCTGCATTTCCATAATTCAAACAGATTTCTGGTATCCTGCCTCAGAGTTCCTGATTCTTTCATTATGTCTCTGCTGGCTCATTAGGCGAGAAGCACAGTCTCTGTGTGTGTGTGTGTGTGTGTGTGTGTGTGTGTGTGTGTGTGTGTGTGTGTGTGTGTGTGTGTGTGTGTGTGTGTGTGTGTGTGTGTGTGTGTGGTGTGTGTGTGTGTGTGTGTGTGTGTGTGTGTGTGTGTGTGTGTGTGTGTGTGTGTGTGCGTGCGTGCGTGCGTGCGTGCGTGCGTGCGTGCGTGTGGGTGTGTGTGTGTGTGTGTGTGTGTGTGTGTGACTGTGTGTGTGTGTGTGTGTGTGTGTGTGTGGGGGGGGGGGGGTGCGTGTGTGGGGGTGCGTGTGTGTCTCTCTGTGTGTGTGTGTGTGTGTGTGTATCTGTTTGTGTGTATCTGTGTGTGTGGGTGTGTGTGTGTGTGTGTATCTGTGTGTGTGGTGTGTGTGTGTGTGTGTGTGTGTGTGTGTGTGTGTGTGTGTGTGTGTGTGTGTGTGGGTGTGTGTGTGTGTGTGTGTGTGTGTGTGTGAACTGACGCCAACAAAGAGCCGCAGCTACCAGAGGTGTAAAGTAACTAAGTAGATTTGGCTAAGTACATTTTTGAGGTATTTGTACTTTACTTGAGTATTTCCATGTTCTGCTACTCTTAACTTCTACTCCACTACAGTTCAGAGGTACTTACTACATGTATTTAATACCTTTAGTTATCAGAGTACCTCTACTTTTACTCAAGTACCAGATCTGAGTACTTCTCCCCCTCTGGAGCCACTCACCTGTCCGACAGGTGGCAGGGCAGGCGCTCCAGTCGCTGTACGGCGTCACGATGCAGTCTCTCCTGCAGGGCAGCAGGCAGGGTCTCACGGTGTCGGGGCGCAGACTCTCCGGACACCTGGAACACATCATCACATGGTCAGATAAAAGCACCGTAAAGATCTAATGAAGGTGATGGTCGTGGAATAATAATGATAATAATACATGGGATTTTTATAGCTCTTTTCCTAATGCTCAAAGACGCTTAACTTGTGGTTAAACAGTATATACAAAGTATACTGTATATCACACTAAAATCATGTCTTTAACCCTTATGTTTTATGATTGAACCTAAGAGAGGTCTTGTTGTTGTATACTGTAAGTGTTTGAGAACATTCCTAATGTGTTTCAGTTGTAGCTCTTTACTTGCAACTCATTGCATTCGAAAGGAACCAAAGACTTTGAGTCGAGACTATCCTCCTAAAAATACAGGAAAAATCAAATGTATGACATAACATTACCTAATACCCCCCAAAAAACGTTAAGCTGCCCCTCGTGGCAATATGAATGACTGTTACTGTCCAAAACAAAACAATAACAAATGTCTTTTCTTTTGGATTGTTCATTTGTGTCGTTTTTTATTAATTAACAGAAAAAGAAAAGAAGGAAGGGAAATAATAAAGCTGATGGATGGATAACTAGAGCCTGTGACATTAATATAGATGTGTACAATTATGATTTAGCATATGTAGAAAATAACAATTGACCCATTAGTCCCATGTACCTTGACACCATGTTTCAGAATTACAGCTTTTCCATTTTGCAACAAAAGGCCCAAATATTCTTACTTCAGAATTGTTGTGGATTGATTGCATCTCAATGATGCCTCTATACAAATGATCACTTTCAGAAAATGCCTTAATTGGTAAAAGTCTGCAGTGCCTGGCTGAACTGAAACTGAACGCTCATCTCAAATCATGAATTCCATCCCTATAGAAAAGCAGGAGTGCCTTTTTTTGTGTGGAGCCATCCGGGAAATGAGCTTTGCTCAGAATTCCCATGGCAGACCACCAATTAAATGTTTCTCTGGAAAGGAAGCTCTTCAGCAAACAGAGACGCATGGTGTATGCACACATTTTACACAGTTTCAATTACATTTGAACCACACAGCTAATTAATACCCTTGCACATATTCTATTTTGGGTTATTTTTGCTAATGCATTAGAAAGATTTGATGCTGTTTCTGGTGGCTCCGTTGATGTGGAAGTGAGCCCTAAGGCTGCTGGCCTCACTCAGCATGTTACAGTGGGTTTAGGAGTAAAAAGTGAGATACATTTCCATACACAGCACGGGCGCTGGGTGTGGGGGGGGGCGTCTGCGTTGCACTGTTAGAATAATGCTGCCGTTCAGTTGAATAAATAAATAGATAATTCATGTTCCCAGCAGATGCCTCCAGGGGGTAAACAGACCCAGATGCTTAAAACAGCTCATCAGCTCACACCTCCACCAGACACCAGAAACAAACCGACTCCACGGGCAAACAGTCTGCCACCAAAACAAAGGGAATCTCTGACTAAAGGAAGCATTAGCACTGAAGCTAATGATGTCACCACCTGAGGAGATATCGGGGAAGGGTTAGGAATAAGGATGAAGTCATGCTGCGGAGATTTGACCGCATTAACGAGGATTATTCTTACATCTGCATAAGGGTTAAACATTTATATATACTTTTTTTTCAGAACCAAAACTGGTACTTCTAAGTAGTAGCTTCTTAAAATAAGGTAGATTGGTGCTTTTTCTTCAAGTGTAGAAAAAGTACCTTCTTCTTTGCCTCTGCAGTCATTTCAAAGCCCATACTTCTTTACTTTTACTTGAGCAAAGAAGTTTAGTCAGTACTTCTACTTTTACCAGAGTATTTTTAAACACGGGTATCTGTACTTCTACTTGAGTAAAGGATGTGTGTACTTCTACTTGAGTAAAGGATGTGTGTACTTCTACTTGAGTAAAGGATGTGTGTACTTCTACTTGAGTAAAGGATGTGTGTACTTCTACTTGAGTAAAGGATGTGTGTACTTCTACTTGAGTAAAGGATGTGTGTACTTCTACTTGAGTAAAGGATGTGTGTACTTCTACTTGAGTAAAGGATGTGTGTACTTTTGCCATCTCTTCCTAACTACATGTATGAGACGACAACATGTAAACTCTTACTTTTTGGGAGGCACCTGTCCCACGTTGACTCGAACACAGATGACTTTGCGTGTTTGCATCCCCACGGAGCAGGAGGCGTCGTCGCCCCGCGTTCGGCCGTTGGACGCGTTGGAGGCGGGGATGGAGGCGTCCTCGATGCACTGCCCCCAGGCGCCCGTCTGCCAGTGGTACACCGTGCACGGGTGATCGTTACAGCCCCTCACCTCCTGCAGGGCGCTGATGTTAGGGCACTGGACGCCTCCTGCAAAAAAAGACAAATGAGCGTCAAAGACTTAGCTGTCGTTCTGACGAAAAAATATGGCACGAATCATTTGTGGGAGAATCTATGCTGGGGGGCACTTAAGCCCTGAGCCTGTTTTTCAGGTTTCAGGCTCGAAAATGACATGCCCAGAACAAATGACTATAACTTCACTTCTAAAAGGGTTAAATTAATAATCTTTTTTCTCAAAGCAAGGTTACATCTGTGAGTTGGATGTAGAAGTGTCAGAATCAATATAGATGTTTCTGTGTCAGAGTAAATTCAGATGGAACATAGCAAAAAAAGGTAAATTCTTACCTCCGCCTAAAAAAAACCCATTACTTATAGTGAAAACCACCCTTGAATGATGGGTTAGTAGACTAAAAGCTTTAGGAATCTGAACTACAACATATAATAAGTACCCTGTATCATGATTGATGCAAAACAAGTGAAATTTGACCTCTTTAGAGAGATTTAGAAAAATAAAAATAATATGAAATCTCCGTTATTTACATAAAAATGCAATGATGGATTATCAGTAATCCTTTCAAAGTGACACAGACACATTGGATTAACCTATGGATTAACCTATGGATTAACCTATGGATTAACCTTCAGCGGCGTTTTTATCATTTTAATGCCATTGAACACGACTATTGATCAGAATAACAGCTAATTTGAGACGATCTCCCGTGAATGTTCCGTAATTCACGTGTTGTGACGTCTGTGTTTGCTTCCCCTGTCACGAGTTCTGATCGCTCAGTGATGATACTTATACCTATAGAATCTGTGGAATCTCAGCTTTAATTTGATATCTTGTTTTTGCAGTTACGATAAGTAATAAGGGTATTTTTACCTTGAGTTCTGTGGTAAGCGTGTTAGCATTTTTTCACTCAGGGCTCATTTAGACGCTTCTTGTGAGACTTGTGTTTTGTTTTGGCAAAAATGGTTCGTATTGTCAGTTAGTGGAGTTTCTTCCCGTTAAATGGGTATGACACATTAATAGGTTTTTAGATATTAAGAAGCCCTGAGACACAGTTTCGTGAAAAAACACCCCACTGCCCCCTGTACAGGGGGCTCTAGGGCTTAACAGGTTGATAATATAGATAAGATGAGAAAAAAGATAAGATAAGATACATAGATAAAGTTCACAGTGTAGTCACCTGTGTCAGGTGTTATCTTGTGCTAAGCTAACCTCGTCAGGTGTGTGTTAATGTGTAGCAGATTCTCCATTAATCATTGTTTTATCGTGCTTTTCTTATCTTAAAGACATGCATTTTCTCATTCACACCTTTTTTATCGTTATTATTTAGTTCATAAAGCACCCTGAGCTTCATTCAAAGGAATACTCGTAGTGAAGTTTTGTAGTATTATTATCAATTGACTAAAATGTGTGCCAACCTGCAACAAGGAAGGAGTTAATCACAGGTCGGCTAGCATTCCCATTCTGTCATGAAACCTACAAATTAGCTCTGAGCTTCAATTTTCTCTCGACTCGTTGGAAAACAAACAATCGTGCCGCAGCATGGAGGGTCTCTTTGTCGGAGGATTGACAGACAATCTGACCCAGGAGGGGGGGGGGGGTTATAGTTACAGATTTGGCCCCAGGTGTGAACACCATGTGACCCCCCTTCACCTTCACCACCAAACCTGGTCATTTGCAGCCGCCAATCAAACCCCCCCGAGGCCAGAGTCAGCCATTAGCGCCTCAGAAACATCTGAAAGACTTCCAGAGACGAAGAAGACGAGTCTGTCTGACCTTCACAGGGTCGCTGATAAAAAGATATTATTGGATTTCAGCGGGTGGCCATTCATCAGGCAGGAGCTCATTAACTGTTCCAGAGACACCCCATTACTGCGGCCCTCGCTAAGTGAAGAGTTCATTGATAAATAGTCAATTACTACAAATTAAACTCAACAGGAAAAGATGCACAGCTCAGATGCAGATAACCTGGTGACCTTAGTGTTCATTAATAAACACTGTGACTGCTTTGCACTCTAGTATATGTTCTTTTGGTCTATTATGGTTTATTCTGATGTATTCTATATATTACACTGTTTATTGATACTGTTAACATGTACTGTACATATTCAATGTTGATGTTTGTTTTCATTGTCCTCACATATTACAGCATGATGTAACTTTATGAATACATCATTTCCAGTTCATTCTAGTAAGTGAAACGACACAACTGATAGGAGCGAAGGTTCAAAATGCCATTTACACTAAGTTTAAAAAAAGTGAAAGCGACAAGAAATGAACCTTCATGGTTTTTATGGAGAAAGATTTCAACCTTTGCAGGAGGGCTTCTTCCAATAACCCTCCACGCTCTGACCTTTGCTGCACAAAGAGAAGGCCACTGAAATTGCATGAACACGTATTTTGCTTCTACTAATTTTGTTTATTTGTCGGATGTATAAATTGTCTAATATTGAAATAGTAGAATAAATAATACAAAAATAAAAATGAACCTTCATGGTTTTTAATGGAGAAAGATTTCAACCTTTGTTAGAGTCCTGCTCTACTTCCTGCCCTTTGCTGCACACTGACGTCTCAGTTTGCTGCAGAGATCTGTCACATGATCTGTCACATGATCTGTCACATGACGCTTCACTCAGCACAAACACCATCAACCTGTCTGTCTGCACGCTGTCTACTCCCATCCATCACACCTAGCTAAAGGCTAGCAGCGCTAACAGCAGCCGGCTGTTCTGGCACGGACTTGCTCTCTCTGAGGATCCATCCACGTTACACACAGAGGGAACTCACGGTGGTGACTTGCTCCGTCTGAGGATCCATCCACGTTACACACAGTGGGAACTCACAATGGTGACTTGCTCTCTCTGAGGATCCATCCACGTTACACACAGTGGGAACTCACAGTGGTGAGGATGAGCCAAATATTTAACGCTTGAACGCTAAAAGATAAACGCTGATGTTCTGCCAAACCAGATGCTTAACCGTATGTGCAGTTTTAACGAGGTTTAGTCAGTCCTCACAGTGTGATGATTGGCACCTTTTGGATATCTCACACTCACCTTGGGGGTGAAACACTTCATGCAGGAAGTCTATTTCTAGAAGAGACTATTCTAAAAGGCACGGGGATATTGTTGGGCCAGCAAACTAACGAGAAGAGATTACATCTGTCTACATCCCTCTAGTTTTATACATACAATCACTTAACTTGACATCAATACTTCAACATACCCCACTCTGGTGTTGTTGAATAAATAAAAGACAGGTTTTAGTAGATGTTTGAGAATGTAAAGGCAAGTAAATATTTAAAAAGCTAGAAAAATGGGTTTTCGCCATGTTGAAAATCACATGTTTCCTGAAGACCGGTATAATCCAGCTACAGGATGTGGAAAGAGTTTTGTTGGAAAAATATAATCAGATTTTTTAATAGCATCATTTAATGATGATGCTAATAAACCATTCATACGCCCACCACTCACCTGGGGGTTAAAACACTTAATGCAGGAACACCAGCACGTCTATAACTACTGTGTCAGAGGTTTCTTTCTATTCTCAAAGCACAGGCATTTTGCTGGGCCAGCAAATTGTCAGGGAAATAGATTACATCAAGGCAGAGACACTCCTACATCCCTCTAGTGATGAAACATATGGAGACTACGTCCTACATCAGCAAAAAAACACGTCTAGGAACATCAAATATGAATGTACCGAAGATTGGATGGACCAGCGACAGCAGGGAAGGACCTTGAACAGAAGCAAAGGCAAAACCCTGGTGATTTTAAAAAGAGAGATTTTATAATGACGTTATCAACATGTGCTTTCTGCAGGCGTGTGTTCCTGCAGCCTTTCCTTACCCTGCATCACAGTAACCCACGCCACTACCTTTGCCGTCGCTGCGGAGGAACACACAGAATCATTCATTGACATTTTGGGCTAAAAAAAAGGCAAATCAGATCCACGACAAAACCTAAAATGACTGTGGTGACGGTTATAGATCCGTCCGTCAGATACAGATCTTTGTGGAGAGCTGGGTCGGGGTTATCTTTGCTCATATCCGATGGCAATGAATAATTGATTGAAAGGTCCATAAGAGTCACATATAAACCACTTAATGCACGGCTTGGTTGGAAAGTCGATTCTGATTGGTCAATTTGGACTTCCTGCCGTCTGTATCATAGAACCATGTCCAGCCGTGTCAACCCGCAGAAAATAAATCAGGTTACATTAACATAAAGACTTATTGATTTACTGTAACTCATCAGAAAGACTTTTTAAATATTCATTTTTAGATTTGTGAAGAGCATGACAAATGTTCTTTTCCATGTAACCCTGACCCTGGTGTTTACTTCCTGTCTGCTGCTCAAGACCTCTTTCTTTCTCTTGTTCTCTTTCTCTTGTCTTCACCCGGGACAGTTTAACTATATCATGAATCCAAATATAAACATCTCAATTAAAAAAGTTTTCCACTGTGTTTTCTGATGGAGGAAAACAAATGGGTTTTGATTGAGTTAAATTGACGGGACTTCTTTCAGCGGATTGATATGAATGCACATAGTCGGCTTTTAAGAAACAACAAACTGCTGAATGTCCAAATTGACCAATCAGGAACGAGTATTCAACGAAACTCTTCCTTGTTCATGTGATTGTTTGGTGTTGTTGTTTTTTTGTTTTGTTTCTTTCCGTTAACCGTCAAGTGGGAACTAAGTATTGTTTTTGTACGTTTTTGTGTTTCTCTTATTTTCCTACGATACATTGTGATCGGCTGAGAATAAGAAAATATGAAGCACAGACCACCTATTTCTATTTCTATTTAATTTTTTTGTTGAGAAAGGAGCCGGTCATATCAGATTATTTTCTCCTCCCTCCTTTTCGGGTACGGTGTGTTTACAGAGACATGTTTTGTAGATAATTGTTATACATTAAGTTGTGCACACCATTCTATTCTAAAAAGCACGGAGCTATTGTTGGGCAAACTAACGAGAACATCTTTCAACATCCTCTAGTTATTAAACATGTGATTTATACATAAAACTTGACATTAATACTTCAACAAACTCCACTCTGGTGTAGTATGTTGAAGTAGGTTTTAAAGATGTTTGAGAATGTAAAGGTAAGTAGATATTGAAAAAGCTAGAACATGTGTTGAACATCAGGTTTCCTTCGAGCAGCAGACCTATCATTACGTTGTGCATACCATGAACTGAACTAATAGAAATGAAATGAAAAAGCTGCGTCCAAAGTGATTCTCAGGATAATGAACGTCTTGCATTAATGTCTCTCTGCACATCTGTCTCGTCCTGTTTTGTCCTCCAGCTGCAGGACGTATTGTGTGTACATGTCCCCTCTGTAGGACTAAAGGAGTTCTGATTCTGATGTCTTACCTTCTCCAGCGTTGTAAGCCAGGATGGACCTCGCTCTGGTCTGTTTGCCCTCTGTGTTTTTCCCGGAGCAGGTGTTGGAGCAGAGGGTCCAGGGGGTCCAGGGGCTCAGGGCACAGTCCTTTGGGCAAGGCACCTCGCAGAGGGCTGGCATCGGCAGGATGGCATCCCTGCAGAGCTGCCTCTCCACAAACTCTCCTGCAGCAAGATGTAAGGTATTAGAGATGTAGCTATGGTCAGACGATACAAAGATATCCAGATGAGAGTCATTACACAGATTTACATTTTCATCTGCGTGCCTTTACAGACCAACAAAGGTTAGGGTTCATTCAAAATGGAAAATGAAAACACAAACTCATCTGCAGGAAGATTTAAGGTATTAGACATTGCAAGTCTCTATCATCATGTAGCAGCTACAGTAGATATGTCAATGAGAACCTGAAGTCCTCCTCCAGCAGAGCAACATGAATATATATCGGACATAAAACTAATAAAACAGATACAATAGTGCAAGAGAATGTTTTGAGATGTGCAAGTTAATACAAATAAAATAGAAATAGTGCAAGAAGAGTCTGTATACAAGTAAATGGAATCTGATAATTAGATAATTAATTTGCAATTAAATGCAAACAGATGAATGTTTCTACACAGTAAAACCCGGAGTGTTAATTTAACACTCCGAGATAAGGACCATATGTTCACTGGCTCAGTGTTAAAATTGACTTTTTAAGTGTTAATTTAAACACTTAAAAAAAGTGACTCTAAAAAAAAGAGTCAATTTTAACACTGAGCCAGTGAACATATGGTCCTTATCTCGGAGTGTTAAATTAACACTCCGGGTTTTACTGTGTGTGGTCTAAATGCATTTAGTCAATATATAGATATCCAGATGAGAGTCATTCGACAGATTTACATTTTTATCTGTGTGCTTTAACAGATATAAAAAGGTTAGGGTTCATTCAAAATGGAAAATGAAAACATTTAAGACTTGTTTTTGACAACTGAGCATTCTGAATAATGAACTTCAGCAGATTTAAGTTGTCAGAAATATTCTGCAGACTAAAAAGCATTAATCAATAAAAATATGTGGAGCCAAGAGACGAGGATCCTGTCCATCATTTTCAAACCTTTATATTTGTATATTTGGCCTTTCACAAATAATAAAAAGCTTTTAAAATGTGCTTGAAACACAAATAGTCCTGGCCTATTTTATGTGCTAAACATGTTATTTTTCTAAAAGCAACACAACTAAGCTGTTTGTAATGTTATCGTTAGCCGATCCACGTTGTTATAAATCTATCAGTAATGTTTCACCCTGTGTCTGAATCTAAACGTTAGAAAAGGGAACGCTAACTTTGACTTTCTGGTCCCAGTTGTTCCCAATGTTTTCACACATGTTCAATCACTGCAACAGACATGCAATGGTCCTGACCCGTATGCATCATTTCCAGATGTTTAATCCTTAACAACACTTAACTTGACATTAATACTTCAACACACTCCCATCAGAGTTAAGTGAATCAGACATGTTGAGAGTGGATGTTTGGGAATGTAAAGGTGAGTTCATTGTGTTTTCTTATAGCAGTGCAAATCACAGAGCTATCATTGTTGTTGTTAAATCTTTATAACGCTAGAGGCTCCGTTTTTAAGGATAAGCGTGAGTTGAAGGACCATTACGTCTAACAGGACTGAAGGCAAAGGGTCTTAGAATAAACACCGGTTTATATTTGAGGTTTTTCACTGGGATTTGTTGACAGTATTGATCGGCTCTGCAAGCGGTCCTCAGCCCAGCATATCTGTGAAAATGTCTTTGTGAAGGGCGGAGAGAACCAGTGACACAACGGAGACCCCGGGGAAAAACAGATCCATTTTCATCAGAAGGACACAACAAGAGATCAATACGAGTCAGGAGGAACTCTGAGGGAAGCCGCATGGTGCTGGGGAATCATTAAAGTGTCTTTTTAAAACTGATGGCTGCCAGGATGTCTTTTGTTACAGGAATCCATGAGATGACTCTCGATAAGTAAAGAGAACTGGATTCAACCAATAAGCAATCAGACACCCAGTTAAAGAGGGGGGGGCTGATAACTATACATAGTGTGTCTCAATCTGTGTCTCTCTATATCTATACTTGGTTGCATTCACACTGAAAATGGCAAAAAACATCTTGACTACAAAGCTGAAGTGACTCGACCCACTTCAGCTTTGTAGTCAAGATGGTTTTTGCCATTTGTTTGGTAAACACAGACACATACAATTTACATTTTGATTCAATAAAAGTACCGCTCTACCATTTCCACAAGAAGCCACTGCTCATATCATTGGGTTTATTGAGCCGTCTGTAATGATTTGGTCCCACGAACGATAGCTAGTTAGCTAACACCTTGAATGTGTGGATGAAGCTACCCAGACCCTCCAACAGGAAGTTATTATGACTTTTGTTGTCATTTAGGATGGAGGTTAGCATTACTATAAGCTAAGCTAACACGACTACCAAGCACGTTGAATTCCTGCTGTTTCCAGGGATAGAAATGTTTCACTTTTTGGTAAATAGAAGATGTTCAGAGTCATTTAAAAAGGCCTTGTAGCATCGCAGCGCTTCAGAGAAAGCAGCATCCTTATCTCCGTTTCCACAGACTCAAAGTGTCTCTGTAAACTCTCCGATCTGAGCAGGTGGAGTGATACCAGTTCACCCTCAGCTCTGCAAGCTTTACACCATCAAAGAGACCATTTTCTGTTCGGCGCTGCTCACTTCAGACGAGTCACTGCTGAACATCTCAGACGGAGGTAATGTGGAAGAAAGGAAGAGTGAATCCAGACTGACTGTGGAACTAATCTAATTCAACAATAACTCTGATTTCACTCTTTAAAGGAAGCACCTCTCTAGCTGAGTGCCTCTCAGAAGATGGAGGGAGATGAGGTCACCTTCAAGAAGCTCACCAGACATTTGAATAGATAAGAGAGCATGAAGGAAAGAAGGTATGGATGATTAAGTAATATGATATGATGAGGGGTTAGCTACATGTAGTCTATAGTGTTGCAGGGATGTGGCGTTCCTGCATTGGACCCTGAAGGCAGCATCTCCTGGTCCAATAGGATTTCTCCAGGAGAGGACTCTTTAAAGTAGAGACACTACATACTGATATACACCTGAACATCAGCAGGAGAGGACTCTTTAAAGTAGAGACACTACATACTGATATACACCTGAACATCAGCAGGAGAGGACTCTTTAAAGTAGAGACACTACATACTGATATACACCTGGACATCAGCAGGAGAGGACTCTTTAAAGTAGAGACACTACATACTGATATACACCTGAACATCAGCAGGAGAGGACTCTTTAAAGTAGAGACACTACATACTGATATACACCTGAACATCAGCAGGAGAGGACTCTTTAAAGTAGAGACACTACATACTGATATACACCTGAACATCAGCAGGAGAGGACTCTTTAAAGTAGAGACGCTATGTAAGGGATAATGTGCAGCGACGCGGTCATTATGGGGAAAAGAACACCGACAGGCAGATCAGGAGCCTGACGCGAAGCGGAGGGATCTAGATCGGCATGCAGTTTGCTTTTCAGCCAAACTGTATACAGTTAAATCGAACGGACTTGTTTGTGCAGATGTGAGCGTCCTTAACAACGGTCAATAAGTCCTTGACAGCGGTCTGTCTGTTCTGGATTAACAACGTGTCACGTGTTCTGAATTGACCAATCAGAATCGAGTATTCAACTAAGCCATGTAATAAATACTGATATACACCTGAACATCAGCAGGAGAGGACTCTTTAAAGTAGAGGATGAGGAAACGTCACGTTCAACGCTCCGATGTGAACATTACTAAATTACTAAAAAAAGATAATAAAGGTCTCAGCAGTGATTGGACGTCCTCCTGCTTCTTAATGAATTATCTTTCAGGTTTCCTTTAATGTTTCAGCAGAAAGAGAATAAGGATAATGAGCTGCAGAGAGAGTCAGTGTGGGAGGAGGAAGAGGAGGAAGAGGAGGAAGATGGTAATCACAGAAACAACATGGCGGCCCTGCTCACTGTGAATGGGACTCTGATTATGAGAATAATATGTAACCCCACCTCTGTCTCCCCTGAGCCCTCATTAGCACAGACTGTGTTCAGGAATACATCCATAATTACACACACACACACACACACACACACACACACACACACACACACACACACACACACACACACACACACCACACACACACAGCACCACACGCACACACGCACACACACACACACACAAGCACACACCACGCACACACACACACACAGCACACACGCACACACGCACACGCACACACCACGACAGCACACACACACGCACACACACGCACACACACGCACACACACACACACGCACACACACACACACACACACACACACACACACACACACACACACACTACACACACACACACACACACACACACACACTCACCGTCGCTGTTCACACACTGCACTTGAGGGATCTGAGTTCCCGCCCCACACTCCCTCTCGTTGTCGGGGGTGCAGTCCTCCAGCCTCAGAACCAGCCAATCGTAGCAGCCGGGCTCCTCGCAGGGCACCGCCTCCACCAGGTGAGCGCAAGTACCTGGGCCCCCCGTCGGCTCGTTGGAGACCCTCCTCTTCCTCAGCTTGAAGCCTGTCGGAACAACAGAGAGAAGTACTCAGAATTGTTTTGTTGTTATTTTTTCCTGTCTCTTTGTGGTTATTTGGCTTCTTTTTGTGGTTCTGTTTTATGTTATTTTTGTGTCTATTTAAAGTCGTCTATATATTTGTTGGGTTGTTTTGCGTCTATTTGTTTGTGTCTTTGGATGTTGTTTAGTTGTTTTTTGTGAATATTTTCTGTCTCTTTGTGGTATTTTTGTTTTGTTTCGAGTTACAGTATTGTTGATCTCTTCGTGGTTGTTTCCAGAGGTGGTAGAAGTAGAAGTACTCAGATCTGGTACTTGAGTAAAAGTAGAAGTACTCAGATCTTGTACTTGAGTAAAAGTAGAAGTACCAGAGTGTAGGAATACTCTGTTTCAGTAAAAGTCCTGCATTCAAAATGTTCCTCAAGTAAAAGTAGAAAAGTATTCTCATCAAAATATAGTGAAAGTAGCGACAGTAAAAGTAGTCATTGTGCAGATTGCTCCATTTCAGAATAATATATATGATATGTTTTATAATGATTGATCATGAAAGTGTTCTCAAAGCTGGTAAAGGAGCAGCTAGTTTGAATGACTTTGTATACTGCAGGGTAGCTTGTGGATTTACTCCAGGTGGAACTAAAGTCTGATTTAACACTTGATTATATTTCACATCATTCATCCACATCTGTGAAGTAACTAAAGGTATTAAATACATGTAGTGGAGGAAAAGTACACCATGTACCTCTGAACTGTAGTGGAGTAGAAGTACACAGTACCATCAAATTAAACACTCAAGTATTGAACAAACCTCAATTGTACTACAGTACTTGAGTAAATGTACTTAGTTACTTTACACCTCTGACAACAGGATGTTAATGACAGACCCCCCCCCCCCACTGGCTGTGATTTGACAGAAAGCACATTAACTTCCCTCTGTGAGCTCTCATGATAACATTACGTCTTGCACGACGCTCCATTAATCCGGGGTTTGAAGAAGAACGTTTTTATTCTCCTCTAATTACACCAGAGTTACTAATCCATTCAGGGCTCGCTCTCCTCTTTGTCTCAAGGGCAAGGACCCCATGACCCAGAGGTTTGTTGGGGGGTTATTTTATAGGGTTTTATATTGTTGCATCTATTCACTTGTCTTGTGTCTCATCTTAACGAGAGAACTCATTGTATTTGATCTTGCCTCCTTGTGTCTCTTAACCTGTTAGCATGTTATATGTTGCTGCATTTATCTGTAAAGGTTTTAAAGTTCTCCTATCATGATATTTTTAGGCATATATTATGGGTCTCAGATATATAGAAACATGTCTATGAAGTGTTTTGCTCAAAATACCAAACCGATCATGGATTTTAGAAATCCCTCATCCTCCTCTGTTCCAGCTGTTAGAGACACGCTGATTTTGGGAGGAGGGGGAGCTAATGCCAGCTCCGTTAGACCCCCGTCTTTAGAGATGTGGGTACGGAGGAAAAGAGAGAGGGGTTTATATTGATGACACTTTGTGAGTCTCTGATCTGAGGGGAATTTCTTGTTGCTTATTTTTAACTTGTGATGTGTCGCCATTTTGTAAAGCACTTTGAGCTGTGATGTATGAAAAGAGCTATATAAATAAAGCTTTATTATTATTCTTTTATTATTAACTCCAGCCTTTCCAAGGTCACCCCCCCCCCCCCTCCTCTTCATCCTCACTCTGCTCCGGCCCGATAAGGACTCCTGGAGAGGCAGCAGGGACCTTTTCTATTACATTTCGCCCTCAAAAACCTTTATTTAATCAGACGGGTGGGAACATGTGTCTGGAGCCTTTGATGGAGGCTTTATAAGAGGAGGGGGGGGGGGGGGGTGTTTTAAGGAGGATGGAGGATGGAGGATGGGGTGCAGGAAATTCAATTCTATCTGACATTTATCTGGCTATCTGCAGAGTGGTGTGAACGGACGGCGATGAGAGGTGGAAACACTCGGCTGTGATGACCTGTGGAAACATGGCTGTGCAGAAAGTCTCAGGAGAAGCAGACAGAAAGAGACCCTCACTACTGCAGTCCATTTACAATTTACAAAATAAAAGACTGAAAGTAAACCGGTCCACCCAAACACATGATGCATTACATGAATGCTCATCATGTGAACAACATCTTGTTCTTTTGTGTCTTTCTTAACACTGTGAGCCGTGTTCATGCTTTCTGCACACATGTCTGCACACACGTCTGCACACACGTCTGCACACACGTCTGCACAGCCCTCCACTTTCAAATATAATGCACTGTAGTTTAAAGGGGACCTATCATGCAAAATACACTTTTGTACGTCTTTTCTACATGAATATGTGTCCCCGGTGTTCCAGGGAACTCACCAAGTGTCAGAAAACACAACCCTCTCTATTTTCCTCCATACCCAAATCTCTAAAAAAGGGGCTGCAACGGATCTGATAAAAACTGATCCAGATTTGAACACTGTCCTGACGTCAGGACGGTGGCGCTACGGCTATTGGGCCAACTCCACCAATCAGGAGGAGACAGCCACGGACATTGCCGTTCGAAAGCGCTGGAGACGCTGTAGTACATATGCCAGGCCTGTAGATGGTGCTGTTCTGCCCTTATCTGCCCTTACAAACACAGAGCTAAAAAAAAGTGCAAATTGAGCGAAATGAGGCATGGCTAAAATGCATGATCTGTTTGGTATTTTGAAAAAAAAAAAGTATAAATATGCCTGATATAGGTATGGTCCTACACTATATTATTCAAATATAGCATGATAGGTCCACTTTAAAATATACTCATTGTCACTCAAATGTTTTTAGTTTTTTAACTTTTAAGGTTATTTGTGTTACATTTGTTGTAAATATTCTCTTTTAATGCTAAATTGTTACTTAAAAATACTTATTTTTGATCATCCTTATATATTTCTTTTTTTACCTACTTTGCAACTTATTTTTTTAGATTGTTGATGTTCGCACCAGCAGATACCAGAACAAATGCCTTGTATGTGTGAACGTACCTGGCTATAAACCTAATTCTGATTCTGATCAAGACATGATAACTGTTTTTGAAATGTGTAAAGGAGATGGCGGTCTCTACGAGGTTCTCGAGATGGCACCGTGTGGATGGGTGCGTCCCGATAGGAGAACACAGAGAACAGACTTTCAGATGTATTTCTACTTCGTTCACGCTGTTAGCCATGTGTGGTCCTGATGCATCTACGCACAGCACTTAACGAGGACAATGTCGAGGGAAAACCACCGTCGTCTTATTATCCACCGTCATAAACTGAGAGTTAACATATCACAGGACGTCATGCGTCATATAACAGATCAAATCATTAAGAAATGAAATGTATAACAAACGTATCAGCTTATGATGGAAACGTGTGGGCTTTCTGACACAATTCACTAAAGCCGTCTTATTATTGTACTTTGCAGTGTTTTAATATCCAAACAGCTCTGCCACATTAAAGCGTAAACAATCTTACCAGAGGTTTAAAACCACAATCATTTGAGAAAAAGCCAAAAACAAATAGAAAATGTCTCCACCCAAGCCATCCTTGGTGGCCATGTTGGATTTTTAATTGGCTAACATGCTTTGTCAAAAGAGAAAGCTCAAAGATGTCCCTGGTATGTTAAATAATCTGAGGCGCTATTCATGACTATATGTGTAGTCATTTCAACATCATTTTGATGTGTGTGTGTGTGTGTGTGTGTGTGGTGTGTGTGTGTGTGTGTGTGTGTGTGTGTGTGTGTGTGTGTGTGTGTGTGTGTGTGTGTGTGTGTGTGTGTGTGTGTGTGTGTGTGTGTGTGTGTGTGTGGAGTGTGAGGAGCTCCGTCATTAAGATGCATGGGGGAGGATCTCCAGCCCTTTCATTTGAGGCGCTTCATTAAGGCAGAGTCAACATGCATTAGTCATGGCGCTCAACGCTGTTCCTGGCTAATTAAGGGCTGAAGCAGCTACGTAACACACACACACACACACACACACACACACACACACACGCACACACACACACGCACACACACACACCGTACATTTTACACTTATATTCAATCTAATATTTCATATTCCATTCCTCACATACTTAATGTATTTATAATATCCTGCTTTATATGTTGTTACTGTACATTTGTATATTTTTTACTTTTTGAATGTTACTGTATTTCTATTGAGACGTTTACATGTTGGATTGTTTATTTCTAGTCTTCTAATTGTTCTAATGTAATGCCTTTTCTTTTGATGCTGCAACACAAACATTTCACAAATTGGGATCAAAAAAGTACTTCTTATCTTATCTTATCTTATCTTATAACTAGCATGATCCAATGAAAGCCATTTGGGTTTTCCATCACCTTTCTTAAACACTTCTGAATTCTAATTGATCAATTGATCGAATCCAACAAGTAAAGCTCCAACAATGTGATGTTGACACAAAACGCATTGTTTCTGACAGCAACGTTTCTGATTGGCCCCCTAACCCTAACCCTAACCCTAACCCACGGGTGTAAAGCCCGCCCACATTTGAGTAATGTGGTCATGACGCAGCAAATCTGGATCAGCTCCGTTGTTCCCCCGTTTTTAGAGATGTGGGTACGGAGGAAAAGAGAGAGGGTTTTATTTCCTGACACTTTGAGAGTCTCCTGACACACGGGGGACACACCGGGGACACACCGGGACACACGGGGACACACCGGGGACACACCGGGGACACACACCGGGGACACACCGGGACACACGGGGACACACCGGGGACACACACCGGACACACACACCGGGGACACACCGGGACACACGGGGACACACCGGGGACACACCGGGGACACACCGGGGACACACCGGGGACACACCGGGGACACACCGGGGACACACCGGACATACACTGGACATACACCGGAGACACACCGGGGACACACCGGACACACACCGGGGACACACCGGGGACACACCGGACACACACCGGACACACACCGGACACACACCGGAGACACACCGGGGACACACCGGAGACACACCGGGGACACACCGGGGATACACCGGACACACACCGGACACACACCGGACACACACCGGACACACACCGGACACACACCGGGGACACATGTTGATGTAGAAAAGACATCAAAAAGGGCATTTTGCATGATAGGAGATCTGTCTCAAGGACCGATACAGGAATAAATCACCTCTGGCTGGAAGAGAACTCTTTGCTCCATAGTTTGTAATAAAACCACGTTGTACATTTTACACATATATAATCTGTTCAATATTTAATATTTAATATTCCATATTCCATATGTCATATCTTTTTGAACATATATATTTGTATATATAATATCTACATGTATATTTTCTATTTTATTTTATTTTATTTCTATTCTTGTTTTATTGTAAAATGCCTTGTCTTTTATGCTGCTGCAACAAAAACAATTTCCCAAACTGGGATCAATAAAGTACCATCTTATCTTATCTTATCTTATCTTATCTTATCTTATCTTATCTTATCTCATCTCATCTTATCTTATCTTATCTTTAAGAACTTCCTACCTTTCTTGGCGGCCTGGTCCTGGCAGTTCTCGAAGGTGCAGGGTCCCCAGGCGCTCCATGCAGAGACCTCACAGTCCAGCGGGCAGCTGATGTGGCACAGCTGGGTGGTGTCGGGGGGGATGCCCACACACAGCGCGCTGTCCATCGGCCGCAACGCTGCACGGACACAGAAAGAGAGGGGGGTTATTGAACACCGTTGTGACAGTTTACGCTGCTATGGACAGTTTTGCACTAATGCACATTCTCAAGACATTGAAGAGACTGTTATTTTGTATTTATTGATTGTTGTGCTTTTATTTATGTGTTAATGTGTGCATATGTATAAATGTGTCTTTGATTGTGTATATAGGTATATTCATATATGCACACATATTTTTATATACATTTGTTATTGTATTCAGGATTGTGGGAAACGGTATTTCGATCTCTGTACACACAAACTGAACGATTGACAATAAAGTTGACTCTGACTTTGGGTTTCATCCCACAGGCACTAATGGCGCGTTTCCACTACACGGCCTCGCTCGGCCCCGCTCGGTATGGCTGGGCCTCGTTAGGACTGGCTCACTTTATGGCGCATTTCCATTACAGTTTAGGAACTGGGGCAGTATCTATAGTAACGCAGTGTAGGCGGAGCCGTGACGTCATCTTCAGAGGACCCCAGAAAAACAACACAGCCGTTAGCTGTTAGCACTCAGAGTTCACAGCTCCTCATATATGTTCAGAAACTAGACAAAAGTTAAACAAGTACACACCACAGACTGCCTGTGTCATGGTGAATACAGCCGCTGCTTTATTTATGTCTGTATAGGCCGTTGTTGTGAGTGTGGACGGTCGGAGCATATACTGAGTTAGCTTAGCCAATCTCCATTTAGAAAACACCCATTTTAAAAGGTTTTTCGCCTGCCGTCTGTCTGCAGACTTGACAAAGCATTAATTCATGGTTTTTACTAACCGGTATCAGTATGTTGTTACTTCGGCATCATTTTGAAACGTGTATTACAATTAAATCACGGTCAAATATGTCCATCTTGTTGTAGTTGTAGCCCCCTTGCCAGCGATGCTCTCTCTAGTTTAGCATACTCAGCCCGACTCAGCCTCGTTGTCTCTGGCCCTGGACCCGCGATTTTATGAGGCCAGAAAAACTGTGAATTAGGACCCGCCGGCCGGTACTAGGCCAAGTGGAAACGCAACCAAAAACGGGCCGCTGACGTCACAACCCTCTTAAACCGTGCTCCGCGCTGTAGTGGAAACGCGCCATAAGACTGTTAGACACCTGCACTTTTGAGAGAACATCCATAACATTCATCTGTTTGCAATTTACACATTATTTATCTAATATATCATATTCCAATTAGACTCTTCTTGCACTATTTCTAATCTATTTCATTTGTATTTACTTGCACTATTCTATCTGTTTGATTGTGTTTCTCTGTTGGAGGAGCCTCAGATTTGCATTGATATATCTTCACTGTAGCTCTGGAATAATGACAATAAAAGCCTTGAACCTTGAATCTGTTGGAAGTGTGTTGTGTGGTGTTTGTATCGCAGCACAATGCAGCAGGAAACAGTAGAGACAGGGAAATTCAAAGTCAACACGGAAATCGTCAATTCGAAGATGATCCACAGATAAAGCAATCTATTAACAATTCACTTTATTCATTAACAGTTAAACAAACAACAACAGAGTACAACCATAAGACCGAATGGAGAATCCAAAATGTGAGAGTAGGGGGCCAGAAACTAAACAGAAAGTATTTAAAATAAGGTTAAAATAAGGTTAACCCTAACCCTAACCCTAACCCTAACCCTAAATCTTAGACACTTTTTCCATCCACCAGTGGGGTATTTACTGAGGTATTTTATGTCGTAGAATACAAATCTCTCCAGCTTGTGTTAACCACAGACCTTATTTCAGGATAACAACCAAAAACACATTCAGACAACCATTGACCTCCAGACCAGGGGACAGGAAGTGATGAAATGCTGAGTCATGACTGTTTTTAGGACTCATTCCTGCACCAAAACTAGAGTACCCTTACCTACTACATGCTCCATCATTATTGATCTGATCAGTCTAAACACTGACAAAGGAAAAATAATGGTACAAGTTAAATGGATTTCAGACTAGCATAACTTCCCCCCAGACATGTAGTTCTTGTTTGAATAATAACCGTACAAACACTGTTCGACAGAGGAAGAGAGTGTCAAAGTATTTCCCTCTGCAACAAAATCAAAAGACGATTATCAGTTTCTAACTCGTACACCAGGACTATTCAATTATAGAAGACCACGCTGTGCAGGGACAACAATAGACCATTTTAAACTCACAGTTGTGTAAAATATGTAAAGTTTAACAGAACAAACGACAAAGATAAAATGTAAGAAAGACAGACGACAGAAGTCTCCAATACCCCGGCGGTCCGCATCCCCCAGAAAGCCTTTCAGCTACAAATCAAAGCCAACATTTGCAAACACTCTCCTCTCTTCTCCACACCAAATCTTCCAGAGCCAGACATCTTTGAAACAACAAAGATTATGTTTTCCTCCAGTGTTCGGTGTGGCCTGGTTCTCGGCGGACTTCAGTCCCAAACAGCTGCAGAGAGTCTGAAGGTCGTGCGGCTGATGGATCGTTCCTCGCTGAGCCTCAACAGCAGAGACTCATTCTCATGCAAATTGCCTCCACTTGGCCAGAGGTGCGTCCTTTAATAGTGTCGCTTAAGTATGCATACATGTGGCCTGCCCTTGAGGACCCTCGTAACACAAAAACATTTGTCCAATGGAGCGATGTGATTAGATCAGGTCATATCTAATTATTGTACAGAGCAGGGTGTGTTGTTTTCTTTATAGCTGCTAAACACATGCACCATGAAGAGAACAATAGCACATGGGAAGATGTATGGGACTACTTTATCAGATCAGGACCATCCTGTTTGTAAACCTGGGGACACTCACTAGTGGAACAAGTAAAAGAAGAAACACTTTGGTCCTAAAATACTCGATTACGAGAAAAAGTCCTGCATTAAAATGTTACTTCAGTACATAAGTATTCTAGAAACATCTACTTAAAGGATCAAAAGTAAAAGTACTCATCCTGCACAATGGGTTCATTTCACAGTATTATCGTTGATTGTTTTAGTTGGTCCAAACTTTGCCAATTTGAGATAGTTAGTAACCCTAGTAGGTGGTTACTTTGAGTGTTAAATGAATGCAGTGGAGGTCAAAGAACAATATCTGCCTCCAAAATGAAGCATACAATGGTTTCCCTGCAGTACAGGTATGTCAAAATAGTACAATACTTGTGTAAATGTACTTTACAGAAACAGGAGTACTGACAATGTGCATGAGCAACATATTTCAATACAACATGCCACCATTGCATTACCATCAAATGGTGATTTGTACACTTATTAAACCACATTTCAGTTAAAAATAAAGATGTTTTCACAAATGTTAGCCACTAGACTACAGTTTGTGTATGTCCATTTAGAGTTCATCACATCATGTGTTATACAAAGAACTGCCTTTTGTGTTCAAAGGACATTGGAACAAAAGCTTGGTGTGAAATGGGTTTGGAAGTAAAAGCAGAGAGTGTTTGGTGGATAGGAAATGATAACAGTCACAGATCTACAAATGAAACCTGTCAGTCAGAAGTTCTCGCACGGCCTTTCTAGAACATTATTATGATCAATCTGCGGTCTGCACCCTGCCCTGAGCTTCATGAATCATTCTGTCAGGCTCTGCTGTGACTGGTCCTCTGAGTCTGAGCACTGAGCAGTGATTGGCTGAGCAGACAGAGATTAATTACAGCCTCTCAATATTATCCTCTGCTTCTATATGTGACGCCTCCGTTCAACCTGCACAGCCAGCACTTTGCAGCGCTCCCTACTGATTCACTTTTTAATATAACACAACTATCACAGTTAAAGAGCTTTTGGATGGTCTTATTGAACATTATCAAACATCGATTCCCTAAAAGCAGAACAGGTGTTTGTCAAGAAAATAAATGCTGTAATAATAAAGATATCCTTTCCTAAAGAACATCTCTGCAACACAAGGGGGAATCATTTAAAATACAGAGTTGATATTGTACTTAATAAGTGGTGCACATGTCCTATCTAATTGGACATTTAAGAGAATAACCAAACGTACATTGTACCACCTGGGGCTTTTATCGAGTCCTGGGGCAGTTTAACAAGTCCTATGTTCCTAGCTTTAGTAGTTGATGGACCCTAATTTGTCTTTGGTGGTTTTCCCTCTCCGGTAGTGTAGTCTTTAATGCATGGTCTGCAAACGGCTAACGGCACTAAATACTATAATAATCACAGATTGTTTTGCTGATTCATTCTTCAATATGCAGATACAGTCCTGCACTTCAACTGGATCTGCATATTGAAGTATGAATGCTCGTTGTTTGTATGTTGTGTTCTCCTGAATGTGTACGTCTCTTGTTTGTTTTTGTATTTTTGATGGCACCTTAAAAAAGGAGTAGCTCTACTGATCTCATTGTATACCTGTATAATGACAATAAAGGATTATATTATATTATATTATATTCTGATAATTGGTTAGAAACAAAAATATTTGTACCATGTTAATGTTATCCGGCGATTCAACAGGAAGTGGGAAATGATTGTCCCAAATTTCATGGAAATCCATCAAATGTTTTTTTAATAAATGCCATTTGAGGCTAAACAATTTAATCGTCAGGTTGTGCTATTGAAAGTCTGGAGACGAGGAAGAATGAAAGAAAAAAATGTCATGAAGTTCAATCTTATAGCTATTTGGAAAATGTAATTTGGAAACATCCAAACTGAAAAGCCATCTCTGCAGCCCCTACACTAACATGGACCAGTCATATGAGGGGATTTGGACAATAATGGCACAGAATATCAAATGCCAAATGGTCAGTACTGGCTTTGAAAACACCATGTCATTATAAGAAGCTATACCTTCAAATTGGGAGGTATTCAACATATAATCAGCCATCATCCCACTGCTGAAATACATCACACAACTTCCTGTTAATGGGTTTTATTCCACGCCAACCAAACCACAGTCCATTTCCTGCTTTTTGTCCAAAAGGATAATCGTCTTTCTGTTCCTCCTGGTCCATAACAGGCTGATTAATTGAGGCCTGCACACACTCTGACCTTGCTCAGGAGTCTCTGGGCCAGATGGTGAAGTCTCTGACGCCAAATGAGGAAACCTGTTCGCCCGGTGCCGCCTGACATTAATAACAAACTCCAGATCCAGCCGGGGAATCACGGCGGCACCGAGGCAGCTGCTGTCGGCCGAAACACTGCCGACACAACTGGGTTTCACCAGAGAGTCCTCTTGCCTCTTCAGTAACAACACATTCCTCACATGCCTCATATCTTTTGAATATTTTCACACTAACTTTGCTTTTTCTTACACTTCTGACTATGTTTTTACACAATAAAATAACATGTGCACCTGCAGCGTCACACCTTTTGCCGTGAAGTTGTTTTTGGAAATTTAATATACGGCAATTTCTTCAATCTTTTTTTTAACAATCAACATTGAATCACACATGTTTGGTCCAATCTGAGACAATGACACAAAGAACGTTAACTCTTTTACTCAATAACATTTGCTACGCAGCTCTTTTCCACTCAGGATATAATAATCTTATTTCGGTAGCCAGTACTTCTACTTCTGAAGATATACACGCCAAACCTGCTTTTTTCAGATGGATAGATCCAGAGAACATTAAGTTTGAGAACAATTTGTCTGTTTCAGCAGCAAAGAGCGTGAACGTTAGCCACACTGTGTTAACATTTAAGCTTACGCCACCAGACGCAAATGAAAAATTGGCAACATATTATATACAGACAAGACAACGCCCTGTTAGGAGACAGGAAGTGTTTACAATTGTATACCATTGGTGCTGCTTGAATAACATTTAGTAAACAAATTCCTCACATGCCCCATATCTTTCTTACATTGTTTACACTAAGTTTTCTCTTTCTAGGCAGACAAATCAGGAGAATATGACCTTCTATCCAGGAAAATTAAATCAGTCAGACTTTCTGCAGCTCTTTTGCTAAAGAACATTAGCTAACCTGCTCTCTTTCACTTAGTCTGGGTAGCAACTACCACTTACGGAGATTTTTCACCTAATCTGCATTTTTCAGACAACAGTTTGTCTGTTTCAGCAACAAAGAGTGTGAACGTTAGCCACACTGTGAAACATTTAACCCAACGTTACTAAACGCCCTAGCTAACGCAACTTTGGTAATGCTAAACATGCTCGTTAGCTATGTCCTATTGGCAAAATAAGATATTTATACATAAGAACATGCCCTGTTAGGAGACAGGAAGTGTATACAATGTCATGCCTTTGGTGCGGCTTGAATAGCATCTTCAGTAAAGAGCAGCTTTTAGCTTTAGCACCTAACACGTGCCACCAGGGAGGGTTACAAGCTGCTTCTAAAAGCAAAGAGGAACTCTCTATTTGAGGATGAAGCATTGTTATAAACGGTGAAACTGCCCGCAGTAATCTGTGCTCGTGATGATGCTGATTCGCTGTAATAGGACTGGGAGAGATGTGTGCTCTCAGATGTTATTATATATTACCGACACTATCCTCTCCCAGTCTCTGTGGGATTTGCTGATCATCCTCGAAAGCCGATGATAAGATGATATCAGAGTAATGGGACACGCAGGGAAACCGTCCCCTGACAGGAGCTGGGAAATGATTCTGTTAATGTGTCTCGATGAGAGGAGTCTCAGATAATGAATGCATTCAAACGCTTCAGGTGGAGGGGCTTCCTCTGAATCTGCTGACACGCTTTTTATTACTGAGATCATTTGCAGATTCTCCAAACAACTGCTGCCATAAAATGCATATAGGTATAATTACATATTGTTTATTAAAGGTTCACGGCTAATAAAACGTATATAGCAAGTTGTGTTAGAGAGGGCGTTTGCAGACGCTAGCTTAAATGATGTTGCTAAGATCAGACAAATTGTTCTTAAACAACAATAATATTCTCTGGATTTCTTCCATCAGATGTAGAAGTATTGGCCTCCTGGAATAAGCTTATTACATTTTCTCAGTGGAAAAGAGCCGGATAGCTAATGTGTTCGTTGTTGCAGTGGCTGAGAGTGTGATATATAGTTGAAAGCTAAAATAAAAAATTGCATTATTTGCATGTGCATATTTTATTTTATTATGTGTGGACTTGTAATAACTTCCTGGCCAGAAGCTAATATTCCCTTAGCTTTGGTCAGATTCTGAATCAGTATCATCATTAGTGCAATTAAGTAGTAAGCAAATATGCAAATGAATCAAGTACATGATCTGAGTACTTCTACTTTTACTCAAGTACAACATCTGAGTACTTCTACTTTTACTCAAGTACAAGATCTGAGTACTTCTACTTTTACTCAAGTACAAGATCTGAGTACTTCTCCCACCTCTGTAGAATGGATTCTTTAAATGACACTTCAGGAGGAAGCTATGATTAAACCTGTGTGGGAGCGAGGACAGGTGCACGTCGCCATCTCTCTTTCCATCATACCTTCACTCCTGCCCTCCCTCTTCAACACTTTCTCTCACCGTCTCCTCTCTCTTCCTCTCAACATATCTGTGTGTTCAGTCTGGAGGATGGAGGCGTGTTTGCTGTGGAGCGACTGCTCTGAGTGGTTTTCAGCAGATGGACGGAGGCTCGATAAGCATGTGTGTGTGTGTGTGTGTGTGTGTGTGTGTGTGTGTGTGTGTGTGTGTGTGTGTGTGTGTGTGTGTGCGTGCGTGCGTGCGTGCGTGCGTGTGTGTGTATGTGTGTGTGTGTGTGTGCGTGCGTGCGTGCGTGCGTGCGTGCGTGCGTGCGTGTGTGTGTGTGTGTGGTGCACCGACATTAGCATACTCATATAGCACGAGTTTTGATATGAGCTCTTTAATTCTGCACACATGGCTGCTAATATCAGTGACATCAGTGTGCAGAGCGTCGACAGATGACAGGAGCTTAGTGTGTGTGTGTGTGTGTGTGTGTGTGTGTGTGTGTGTGTGTGTGTGTGTGTGTGTGTGTGTGTGTGTGTGTGTGTGTGTGTGTGTGTGTGTGTGTGTGTGTGTGTGTGTGTGTGTGTGTGTGTGTGTGTGTGTGTGTGTGTGTGTGTGTGTGTGACAAAAGCCTGAGCAGATGATTTGAAAGCTCATAAACAACTATTTTTTTGTCACAGATGTCTTTTTTGAAGCTGTTTTATAGCCAGCCTGTAGAAGTCAGAATGTGCTATAACAACAAGCTGAAAATGACTCATCTAAACTCAGGTTTGGCTGCACTTTCTTGTTGTAATGTGAGAGGATATTCAGCCCTTGATAAGCTGTTAAAATGCATCCTAAAATAATTGAAAATGTACAACAAACACGCTACAACAACCCAAAACTCTTCCATCAGGAGCTGCAGCTTCAGAAAGGATGCAGATATAGAAACCCAAATGTTCAGTACCAACACATGCAGCATTTAGAGAACATTCAGCAACTTGAGGAGACATGCGCAGCGTTTACTAAAAGGCAACCCTAACCCTAAAAGAAGCGTCACTTAATTGTTACTTAATAATGTACCAATGCTTCATAAAGCTGTGATAAGTCATTGATAAAAACAACTTTAAGTCAAGAAAGTTGTAGAAGAAATCCTCCAGGAATAAAAGCAGTTAGTAAACCAACCTACTATAAATATAATATCACTAAAGAAAGATAGAGTAGTGTGCGTTGCGACCTGAAGACCGATAGAAAACCTCCCAGATGGCGTTACTCAGAGCCAGAGAGAGGGGATATGTTCTCTGGCAAAGTGAAGCAGAACACATAGAGTGACATTTAATGGGTTGTATATGGGAGATGAATTCAAATCACTGAATTGTATTGGTGTTTTTCTTACAACTCAAGCTCACTGCTCTCCACTGCTTGGTGGTGCCAAGAGATTCTGTCCATCAATATCACAGACAGACCGAGAGGAGACGCAGGAGGAAAACATGTTCACTTTCTCTCTGTTGACTTATTACTTATGGATCAGGTCGCTTGTGGAAAATACAAGATTCAAGATTCAAGTCTTTATCATCATGAGCTCAGTAGCTTCAGTGTGGATATGGAGATGAAGTCTGAAGTCCTCCTCCAACAGAGCAACATAATATAGGACATAAAACAAATTAAACAGATAAAATAGTGCAAGAGAATGTTTTGAGATGTGCAAGTAAATACAAATAAAATAGAAATATTGCAAGAAGAGCAATACAAGTACATGGAATCTGATATATAGATGAATAATTAGCTAAATGCAATCAGATGAATGTTTATGGATGTTCTTTAAAAGGTTCAGGTGTTTAATAGTCTTATGGCCTGTGGGAGGAAACTGTGAAATGTGAGATAGAACCAAAACATGTTGGATAAAGTGAGCGATAGATGATGCACATGTACAGTAGATCAGATACATGTAGAGACAACAGAAGAGAGGCATGCTGGGAAACTCACCCTCTTTGCTCCTGATGGCTGCGAGGTTGGGGGGGGTCTCAGAGCTGGTCTGCACGCAGTACACCTCCCTAGTCTGGAGGCCCCCCCCCACACAGGCCGGTCTGGTTCCCCCTCCTCCGGTCCTGCTGACTCAACAGAACGTCCACCCGGCACTCAGTCCACTCAGTGCTCTTCCAGTTATACCTGGGGGCAGGGGAGAACATGGAGGGTTAATCTAAAGAACAAGAAGTTCCAACATTGGGATCTATCTATCTATCTATCTATCTATCTATCTATCTATCTATCTATCTATCTATCTATCTATCTATCTATCTATCTATCTATATATCTATATATATATCTCTATATATATCTAAAGGAGAATCTCAGTGGTGCAGGGGATTTCCTATTCCTGTGTAGGATCCTGAAGGCAGCATCTCTCTGGTCCAATGGGATTTCTCCGTTGGATTTTGTTCTAACAAGTGGGTGTTATAATGGTGTAACAAGGCTGTGTTAACGTGTTTTATGGGTGTAATAACAGGGTAATAGGGGTGTTATAACAGGGTAATGTGGGTGTAATAGGGGTGTTATAACAGGGTAATATGGGTGTAATGAAGAAAATAGCAATACATTTTCCTATATATATTTATTAAGTGATCGCCCATTTAAGGGTTAAGAAATCAATTATCCAGCAGAACAAACAGAAATCTTCAGATGCACTCTAGGAAAACATTTGCAGAGCCGATATTTTCCTTCAACCGTTTGTTGTTGTTTGCTCGGAGGGACACTCAGGCTTTTTCAGGCTCTGAACAGCATGAGAAATAAATCTCTAAGCATTGTTAGAAAGACTTTCTTCATCATTGACCTCCGCTCTGTGTTTACGACACGCCTCAGGATCACAAGCGTTCTGCAGGACTGGCTTTAAGTTGTTTACTGGGACCGGTTTGTGTCTGCTCGGTGGATTCTGCTGCAGAATAAAACACAGAGGTTTCCAGCCTGAGGTCAGGAGATCTCGGCTCATAATGGGATTCATTTGAGGTCGCCAATGAAAGGCTGCAGATTCATGAGCGAGGTCTCAGCAGCCTGCAGAACAACGAGGCCCCTGGGAGAGCAGTGCATCTTGGGGCTTTAAGTTGCCCAGATGGGGACAATCAGAGCCTCCAGCTGTACGTCAGACTACAGGAGCTGCGGTCCATGCTCATTGATTTCTTGTTAACGGCTGATTTTACTGGCCATAAATCTGATTTAAATAGACCTATAGAGACATTACTGTAAGTAAAGCTCCAGAATCTGCTAATAACTTTCTCAAAAACCACTTCATTTACTAAAAACTCTTTATGTGTGCTTTGAGCATCCTTGGCTCTTTGGTTAACCGCCAACAGCTAGACAGCAGCAGTCACAACAGATGCTCCTTTTGTTTTACACATGCATTAAAAATGTAAACATGAACCCGCGCTCTGGACCAGCAGCGTCTTCAAACGTAATTCCCAGAGCTGATGTGCAACGCTGTGATTTTACAGCGATTCCCTGACTGCTGTCTGTATGGCTTTTCGTAATAGTGTGAAGATCGGCCGTGAAATAAATGAGCCGACGCTCTGCAAAACAGACACAGAGAGAGAGAGTGGTGCTTCTGGAGGATGATGATGTTAAGGTTTACCATCAGGAGGAATGTGCTGCAGCTTCAGAGACGCTGCAAGAAGCTCAAAACAAAACGGAGACCAGGGGACACTAAAAAGTGACCCAGATGTGTGCGTCACTCTTTAGTGTCCCCTGGTCTCCCAGCTGTGTGCGTCACTCTTTAGTGTCCCCTGGTCTCCCAGCTGTGTGCGTCACTCTTTAGTGTCCCCTGATCTCCAAGCTGTGTGCGTCACTCTTTAGTGTCCCCTGGTCTCCCAGCTGTGTGAGTCACTCTTTAGTGTCCCCTGGTCTCCCAGCTGTGTGCGTCACTCTTTAGTGTCCCCTGGTCTCCCAGCTGTGTGCGTCACTCTTTAGTGTCCCCTGGTCTCCCAGCTGTGTGCGTCACTCTTTAGTGTCCCCTGATCTCCAAGCTGTGTGCGTCACTCTTTAGTGTCCCCTGGTCTCCCAGCTGTGTGAGTCACTCTTTAGTGTCCCCTGGTCTCCCAGCTGTGTGCGTCACTCTTTAGTGTCCCCTGGTCTCCCAGCTGTGTGCGTCACTCTTTAGTGTCCCCTGATCTCCAAGCTGTGTGCGTCACTCTTTAGTGTCCCCTGGTCTCCCAGCTGTGTGCGTCACTCTTTAGTGTCCCCTGGTCTCCAGCTGTGTGCGTCACTCTTTAGTGTCCCCTGGTCTCCCAGCTGTGTGCGTCACTCTTTAGTGTCCCCTGGTCTCCCAGCTGTGTGCGTCACTCTTTAGTGTCCCCTGGTCTCCGTTGTGTTTTGAGCTTCTTCAGCGTTTGGTTTCTGCAGCTTTTAGTAAACGCTGCGCATGTTTCCTCAAGTTGCTGAATGTTCTCTAAATGCTGCATGTGTTGTCAATTTTGTAAGATAGATAGAACATTTTAAATTATATTTGGCGTCCCACAGGGATCTATACTTAGACCACTTTAGTTTTGTCTATGAATTACTGTCATCTTCAAAGAAATATATATTTAAACTTCATCACCTTTTAAACCATTTTCTACCATGTGTTTTGGAACATTTGTGTTTTTATATCTGCATCCTTTCTGAAGTTGCAGCGGGTTTCTCCTGATGGAAGAAGTTTGGCACCGTAGTTTTAAAACCCTCTGAGGATTGAAGGGTTCGTCTTATATTGACACTTGTACTTTATTCATATATATCTCTCTCTGTACTTACACAATGCAGGGGGGCACTTCCTCTCCAGCAGTGCAGCTCTCCTTCTCCAGCAGCTCAGGACAGTCGGCCCCTCCGTCGATGGGGAACTGGCTCACTTTCCGGCTCCTGGTTCGATCCCCTTTGGGTCCGTTGGGGTCGTAGCACTCCTTGGAGCAGGCGGACCAATCAGACCACTCGGTGACGTCGCAGTCTTTGGTCATCACGCAGGCCTGGAAGGTGATTGGCAGAGAGTCCTGGGAGCAGAGGCTGAGGAGAAAACAAGATATGGTAAGAGGAGAGGAAGCTGTGATACTTTAAGGTTGATGTTACGAAATGTACGGAAGCCCTGAGAGACATTTCAGGAAAACAAAACCTCAGGAACCAATTTCTACATCTGATCCAAAATAAAATTCACTCTTTTTGACCAGAAATACATAAACATTTTTACATTTTTGGGTGATATCTGTAGGATTTGTAAGCAAGCTTATAGGAAGATCATTAGGAAAGAATTATCTTGGGGTTACATTTCCAAAAACAGGTGACAGGAAGGTGATTTTCTTTTTAGTTTTGTTTACTTTTGTAAGGCCTATTTTGGTCACAAGAAGCTAAAATAAACAGCTACTCGATAATATTTTGTTTTGTTTTATTAAACGTTTTGAAAGGAAATGAGTCCACAGAAGCCTCCCAGAAGTAGATAAAGACAGGAAGAAAACAACCGTCTCCTGCCTGGATTACAGAGATGTAGACGGAGCTTCCCTTTGTCTGCCGATGTGACTCAAACTGTTTCAAAGAAGTTCATTATAAACCCAACAGTTCGTTATCCGTGTTTTCAGCGGCGGCTGCTTAGCGCCATGGCTTCGTTTGATGATGAGGTTTCTGATGTGTTCAAAGACACTTGTTTTTCTCAGTGTGTTTTTAAAGGCTGACGGGCCGTATGGAAGAGACTGTCTCTCTTTTCTATGAGTTTCAACGCTGCAGTTGGTCCTCAACTCTTCTGGAGGTTTCTGAAGCTTTGTCTGTTCTTTTAGAGTTTTGTTCCTGCAGCCATTACGTTTCTCTCTTTAAAGCCTTTTACATTAAAGCCCGAGCAGAAGGTCTGGACATGATTATGGCCATATAAAGTATTAAAGATAATACATCTAACAGTTTGCACTTTGATGTAGTTTTCAAGAAAGAGTTTCATCCAAACTACGTAATCACAGGTGTTAGACACACTGTCCTAGATCCAACCAAGGGGAGGACGTGTTTCAGACTTTATTATATGATATGAAAAGCTCTGAGTTTCTTTAAAATGACCTGTGCTCAAGTTCTCCACACAAACTACCTTCTGTTGTTTAACTGAACAGCAAATATCTGTTCCAAGTTGTGTGCCACAGCAGACAGGCCAATGCTAACAAAAAAAAAAGCCAGGTAATCCAACCAAATGGCCCTAAAGAACCAGTCTTATTACTTTTCTGAAATCTTAATTCCACGATTGCATACTTGATTCTGATACCACAAAAACTTAAGGGCCATACCTTGATAATTGAAACAGGATATTGACCCGGTCCATTCCTCCCTTAAACCCCCAATTAAAAGACAGTCCTCACAAGGCCTTAGGTTTCTTTGTCAAAGACCCAATGGAGTGCCTCCTCATTTTAAACTCTTAACACTTGGGCATAATTAGCAGTATAAGCCACCAGATAGAGTTCAAAATTCCCACAGCGCTTCAACTGTAAACAAACGTGACTCTGTGTTCTGGTCTGCATTAATATCCTCACTATCAGCTAAGCCTCTTTGAAGCTTGTAACCATCTGTGCATCCTGTGATATAATCCACTCCTCCACTATGAATGGAGTTCATGTGACAGCGGCTAAAGCAGATTTGCGCATATGTGCTTCACTTTTAAATAAATATTCCAGAGTAGATATAAATCCACATGCAGATATAATATGCCACTTGATTGCACGACGAGTGGAGTTTGCATGATTTATGAATCCTGACCTTCTCCCAGGCATTAAAAGCAACCGTATCACACAAGCCTTGATTTTTCCTCAGGAAGTAATGGACGCTGCTCAGTGGCCTCTATTAGAGCACAGCCAGACAGAATGAGGCCATTCATCTCCGAACAAAGAGACGCCACATGGCCGAGCTGCAGAATAACATGTAGTGAGATGTCTCTGACCAGTGTGAGCAGACAGAGTGATGCTCGTCAGCCACTAATTGAAACTGACAGGGATTCTCGTTATGACCATCATTATTACTGAGGCCCCGCGTCGTGTCATTATAATCGTGGATGGATACCGTTAACAATCCCACTAATTAAACATTAACCTATTGGCAGCGCTGGATAACATTTAAAAGGTTCACCAAAGTCATTCATACTCATCAGCACCAGAACACATGTCAATACATCCAATTGTTGTCAAGGTTTTCAACTTAAAACCAAATATATCTCATGACAAGAGTTTTGAGGATTATTACTGAGGCCCCGCGCCGTGTCATTATAATCGTGGATGGATACCGTTAACAATCCCACTAATTAAACATCAAGCCTTCATGTGAGACTTGGAATATCTCAATTAGCTCGGACTTAATATTGAATACTGACGGCTTACCCAACACGTAGGACTGAGTGCAACCAGCCGTGACACTGCAGCATGCACTCAACAACAACAACAACATAACCTCTCCCTGAGAAAATATGTCAACAAGCTTTACAACACACGCTCTTCAAAGGGCAATAACATGCACACACCAGTGGATATATAGATATACACATGCCATCATCGGACAGCGGATAGTAGAGAGAACTGGGAAGGACAGTCAACCAAGCTGCACTGCAACAACATGAAACACCCAGTGTGCTGAGGTTAGGGAATATTTGTAGTTATGGCAAATACACTATGGTCTGGCATTGGTCAAGGCTAAGGGAAGGCAACAACACACTTAAAGTTAGGGAGTCTGGTAACAGTTAATCAATACTTGGAAAGCTAAAGGTCCAAGTTCAACATCGACCATTACATATTTACTTTTTGTCAAACTAGATAAAGGACAAGCTATTTCCTGCATTGGCAGAGTTGGCCTCCTAAGGTCTGCAATGGTCCAATACAAGTTATTTATTCCACGCTGCACGACAGTAGTTTGCAATGATTTATTTTTATAACAATCCGAAAATCACCTGACTTAAGAAAATTTGCCGATTTAAACCAAACCATGATTCCCTAAACCTAACCACGTTGTTTTGTGCTTGATCCTTAACCAAAGTAGACTGGTCTAGCAACATAACCTGCACTATTTTAGTCAAATCTATCGTACCTCGTATCATTTGCACTTTTTTTTGTCTATGTCCTATATATTCATGTTGCATTGTTGGAGGAGCTCGGGACCTAAGATTTTCATTGCCATATCTATACTGTAGCTGCTGTGCACATGATGATAAAACCATTGACTCCTTGAATCCTAGTGTTGTCACATAGTAGAGATTCATTCTTTTTCAACAGTGATTTCTTAATATTACATATTGCACCATTAAATGATGTGGTTCTGCTGAAAGGTCTGTCAGATCAGAACAATCCTGAAGACTAATGGCGCGTTTCCACTACACGGCCCCGCTCGGCCTCGCTCGGTATGGCTAGGCCTCGTTAGGACTGGCTCACTTTATGGCGCATTTCCATTACAGTTTAGGAACTGGGGCAGTATCTATAGTAACGCAGTGTAGGCGGAGCCGTGACGTCATCTTCAATGAGAACCCCAGAAAAACAACACAGCCGTTAGCTGTTAGCACTCAGAGCTCACAGCTCCTCATATATGTTCAGAAACTAGACAAAAGTTAAACAAGTACAAACCACAGACTGCCTGTGTCATGGCGAATACAGTCGCTGCTTTATTTATGTCTGTATAGGCCGTTGTTGTGAGTGTGGACGGTCGGAGCATATACTGCGTTAGCTTAGCCAATCTCCATTTAGAAAACACGCATTTTAAAAGGTTTTTCGCCTGCCGTCTGTCTGCAGACTTGACAAAGCATTAATTCATGGTTTTTACTAACCGGTATCAGTATGTTGTTACTTCGGCATCATTTTGAAACGTGTATTACAATTAAATCACGGTCAAATATGTCCATCTTGTTGTAGTTATAGCCCCCTTGCCAGCGATGCTCTCTCTAGTTTAGCATACTCAGCCCGACTCAGCCTCGTTGTCTCTGGCCCTAGACCCACGATTTTATGAGGCCAGAAAAACTGTGAATTAGGACCCCGCCGGCCGGTACTAGGCCAAGTGGAAACGCAACCAAAGACGGGCCGCTGACGTCACAGCCCTCTTAAACCGTGCTCCGCGCTGTAGTGGAAACGCGCCAAAAGAAGCCTGTGTCTTACAGGTCTTCTTGTATTTACCACTGTAAACACATGTAAGGAAAGCAGGACATCACACGATCTCTGACATACCGAACCCTAACCCTCACCTGGGCACCGAATACCAACTCAATCACAGATTTTTCAACACTTAAAACTTACCTTTACCTAATCCATATTTCACATGGTGCTAAACTGTTTCCTTGCTGAAAGACATAACCATTACTGTACTTTATATAATGATTTTGCAGACAAGTGTCTATAGAAAGTGAAGACGACCTTACAAAAACACAGGATACCTTCATCAGCAAACATTCACACACTAAAAATAAAGAAATTAATAAAAATCATTGTATTTGTTACTCCCTAAAGTGGCTCATAAGGACGTTTCTTACCTGAGAGCCTCGACGTTCCCGCTCTTGTGAACGCAGGACACTTCCCGGGTCTGGTACCCGACCGTCAGATCCCAGAACTTCCCCCCCGGCCGGTTCTGGCGGTTTTTGGTCCTCTTCTTCTTGATGAGTTCTCTGGTCTCCGGATCCTTCGCCTTCCCCCTCTCCCTCAACCTCTCCCTCACTTTCTCCCGAATTTTCTCCTTTTTCTCTTTGTTTTTGGCCTTTTTCTGTCGTTTGGGTCGGTCCGCCTGCCGGGACGGGCGGTCCGGTTTCCTGTTCGCTCGGCCAAGTTTCCTGTTGGGTCTGGAGGGTTTGGGTCCATCTTTAGACAGTTTGTCTGCATCTTTGGACCTTTTTTCTCCGTCTTTGCGCGGCCTGTCCCCCTCTCTGCTGGGTTTCTCCCCCTCACCGGTCACTTTGACTCCCTCTTTGGACTGTTTGTCGCCCCCTTTCGATGTTTTCTCACTCTCTCTGGACGGTTTGTCCGCCTCTTTAGACTGTTTGTCCCCCTCTTTGGACGGTTTCTCACTTTCCTTGGACGGTTTTCCTTCCTCTCTTGGTGGTTTATCAGCTTGTCTGGCTTGCCTGGACACCGGGATCGAGCAGAGCCCCCAGGGTCCGACTCTGAGGCTGTACAGACTCTCCTCCCCTTCACAATTCCCCGGCTGGCACGTATGAAACTCCGTCAGATTCGGGCACGCCGACCCACCAAACAGCGGTGGCGCTAAAACAAAGCGGATCCTGTTCTGTAGTCCGATCCCACAGGTTTTAGAACATTGCGTCCATGGGCTGAACTCAGACACCACGCAGTCCCGCGGACAGGGGATCAAACAGGCCTGCTCCAGACGGGGTTTTGGCTCAAAATATTCACAGATTGCATCTTCTGCTGGTTCTCCGTCTGCCTTCAGGACGCAGCCCACCTCCCGGGTCTGAATGCCCTCTTCACCCCGGGTACAGACGATGGGTCGCTGAACTCCAGCGTTGCGCATGGACACGGGGAGGCACTGGTTCCAGGCCCCCAGCTGCCAGTCGTACAGCTCTTTATGCCAGTCGCAGACCCTGAAGCAGCTCTGCTGGTTGTCCGGTCTCTTGCTCTGGTCGCAGTTTGTGTGGAGGGTGGTCCATCCTTCGGAGTGGGCGCACCACACCGCCCGGCTCTGACTGCCGCCGGGGCCACAATCACTGCCCATACAGCGCCCCCAAGGACCTGAGGAGAGACAGAGACAAGAGAGAGGTCAAGGAACCGTTTCACAAGATGTGTATTCACTGTGAGGATTGACTGGTGCACAAAGGAGCGCTTCAGAAAATGGTTTGGGTCTGAGCCTTATGAGGTTGTTATGATGATGATACTTTTCATTTCAAGTTAACAACAGGAAGCAGTTAACACCTCTTCTCTTGATATTAGAACACATAACATTGCATAAAGACTTAAATTAAATGCAATAAACCATAAGGATACAAGTTCAGAACACCAAGAACCCTGTATAGTGACTTCAATAGAGAGGTCAAGGAACCATTTCACCAGATGAAGGAGCTAGAAACCAAAACGCCTCATGAATACATTTCATTGCAAGTAAACAACAGGAGGCTCGCATTGTATAATCTCCTACTGTATTGTCTCGTATCGTATTGGTTCGTGTCGTATCGTCTCATATTGATTTATGTCGTCTCCTATCGTATAACACTTATACTACCACACGGTACAGGGGGTTGTTATGATGATGATACATTTCATTGCAAGTGAACAGGAGGCAGGAAACCCCTCTTCTCTTGACATAATAACACAAAACACTGCATAGAGACTTAAATGAAATGCAATCAACCATAAGGATACAAGTTCAGAACACCAAGAACCCTGTATTGTGTCTTCAAATAGGCCGAAACCGTTTTAAGTGATGCGTACAGGAATAGGAAGAGTTTTGTTTTTCTTTCATTAGATTTGACACTTGATACTATGGACATGTCTACAAGAAATTGAGGATGTGCATCAGCTGTATAAACACTATTTTCCAAGTAAAAGTCCTGCATTCAAATTGTTGTTTGAGTCAAATTAAATGAAGCAAAATGTTCTGAAACTTCTAGAAAGCCCCAACAAAGCAACATGTAGTATCCTACAGGAATAGGGTATTATTTATAGTTGTGAAGAGCTTTTGAAGACACACTTCTCCCTCGCCACATGCTGTAAGTGCTTCCCAGTGCAATATGGTGATTGCACTTCCTCAGGATTTATGAGAATCCAATTATAGTCCTAAGTAAACATCGACCTTAGAACAGAACCTGTGTAAGCAGCGCAGCAATCAATACCACATAAAAATGAACTGATATGAGGAACGGCGCAGCCTTCCTCATCATTAGCCCCGTCTGCCGGTTCAATGCTGGGAACCTCTGCAACACACCACTCACACTAATGAGGCCATCACACAATAACTATTATACAAGCAACGCAGGCTATGTGAAGACCTTTAAAAGGACTGTTCTATCATCAAGGAAACAGAGCTGTTATATCAAGGTCATGAAATAACAATCACACACAAGGAACTGTTTGAACCCCATGGCACCATTTACTTTCCATTGCATGAAGACTAACTAAAACATGACAACAAACTATCTTCAAGAAGAAAACCAGGTAAAAAGATGTTGCAAAAAACAGTACAATGAGGATTTAAATATTGCAAATATAAATATGTTGTCATTATTGTTTTTGTGCAAGCAGCAAATAAAACCCAAATCTCCTACATTTTCCATCTTTTAGTTTTCTCACTATTTTGATCTGCAACCCTAGCCCTAACCTAATAAATCCTTGTATGTTTTGTGGATAGTGGATACGCATGGTAACCTATTGGCAGCTAGATAAAATGTAAAGTCAACACATCCAGGTGTTCAACTTAAAACCAAGAATATCTCATGACAAGAGTTTCGAGGAGTCATGGCTAGAGAAGTCACCATTTTTAAAGAAAAAGAGTCAGGGGTTTTCAAGCCATAAGATCTCGTCCATCCTGATTTTGAAAGTCTGTCCAAATCTTTATGGTAGAAATTAAACGAGCGCATTGAAAGTGAGGAAACAACCAAGCCTGTAAATCACTGCTCACGTGGCTTTAAGGTGCAGTTTCAATCAAACCGTGATCGCAATGCAGTTCATCTTTAGATAAGTGATTCAGCAGACTGTGAGGAGCCATGAGAAAGAGCCAAAGCTGTAACTGTCCCTCTACGATATACTATATAAACCAGAGAGTACAGTAACTCATTGTGCTCACAGTATAAAGTCAGAGGCTATATTAAACAGTGCTTTACGGTTTCACTCAATAAAGCCGAGATACAGCAATGAAAATGTCAGCGGAGGAAGCAGCAGCTGAATTAGCTTACAGCTGCAGGCGGGGGGCTCGGATCAATACGGATCAATACTGGGAGCAAGAAACTGCCCCCGACACCAGAGACAGCTGAGAGCATCCTCTGCAGCTGAGAGCATCCTCTGCAGCACACTGGGAATGCTGAGGATACGTTAATGAAGCTGTGGAGGAAGAGGTGATCTAATGTCAGAGGGTGTGTCGGTGCAAACTGTGTATATGTACATAAGTCCTGAGTTTGAGTCTTTTATCATTTACTAACTTCTGGGGACAATAAAGTGTATCGTCCCGTATCATATTGTGTCGTATTGTTTTTTATCGTTTGGCTCGTCTAGTATCATATTGTCTAGTATCGTCTAATCGCGTAACGCCTCAACTCGTCTCGTATCGTTTGTTGTGGTTTTGTCAGTTTGTGTCGTGTCTTATAATATCGTCTCATCACGTTATGTCCCATATTGGGTCGTATAAGTACTCATAAGGCCTTTAACTTAACAAAGAGGCTATGGCAGTATACTCTGGGCTGGGCATGGTCCAGATGTGCCCAGGTGTTCAGTAACTCCTGCACTCGCCTCTCAGTGACACGGTTTCTGATGAAGCTGAATGAGGATGGTTCTACCGAGCTGGCCTACATCGCCCGCCCTCCGCTGAGAGGGGGGGGGGGGGGGGCACCGTGCCAACGAGGCCGAAACTCCAGGAGGTATCCACCAATAACACACACTCCCCCTACACACACATCACAAAAAAACACCAACTCTTCCCCTCTGTGGGACGAATAAAGGTATTCTGAACACACTGCACACACACACATCTGAAACCCCACCCTCACACTACACACACACACACACCCTCACACACACACACACACACACACACACACACACACACACACACACACACACACACACACACACACACACACCCTCACACACACACACACACACACACACGCACACACACACACACACACACACACACACACACACACACACACACACACACACACACACACACACCCTCACACCCTCACACCCTCACACCCTCACACACACACCCCTCACACTGACCACATGGGACCGTTTTACACACTCACTGACAATAAAGAGGAAATCGGTGGGGCTGCAAAATACATCGAAATGTCAGTTAATTGGAAATTGGAAATTGGTGTGTTTTTGGTTGTTATCCTGAAATAGGGTCTGTGGAAATAAAGAGATTTCCATTGAGGACTGTTGTGATGTTGCAGCATTTAAGGATGTGACAGGAATAGATGCTTTGGTACCAAATTTAGAAATGATAGATCATCAAATCCTGCAGGAGAAGAGAAGTCTATTTGCTTTTGGTATTTTCTAAAAGACATATGTGTGTGATTTATTTTCACCACTTCAATCCTGTTAGCCTTAAAATCATGAAATGATTTTCCCAGGAACAATAATACTGTTTGGAGTTGTTTGTTTTGAACTCTTTGGTGTTTCATGAGAGACAACATTTTCCCCTTAATGGTTCTAGTAATCTCATGATCTTTTGCTCTTGTTCAATGTTGAGGTTATCTTAAGCTGGCAATCAACTTAATGCATTAATGGTACAGTTTAAAAAGTGGTTATTGATTTTAGACAGGATTAGACAAAAGCAGCTTTTCCTATCTGTCCACGACCATCGATTTATTTCTCTGGCTGAAATGTCGGCTAACAGATTTAATCAGCAGTCACCTCTAAAAGGCTTCAGGTTGTCCTGTACAGTAAAGACTAATACAACTTAAAATACAGATCCCACAAATCAACTGCCTTCTTTCACGATTTAATTGGATATGATTTACTGATCCTGATCAATAAAGAGGAAACAGGCTGATCTTTGAAGGAAGTGACACGTCTTTATAGCTGCAGCACTTTAATAACCACAGATAAATCCACTTAATATGTGTCGGCCGCGGGGGAGGACGTCTCCTCTTGATGTTGCTCTGCAGGTTTATCTCGTCTGTCGCCTGCCAGCACTGGGAAATTGACATCTGTGTGAAATGATTTCACTCCCCAATAATGGGATTGCTCTTTTCTTTGGACGCACCCCGGCCCGGCATCCCCCAGAGCTCCCACCTGGGCCCCTCACTTTTCCCATAGTGCCAAACAGAAGATTGGCACTGGCATTTGACTGGGATAATGGAAACCAGTGTGAGGCTGTGGGATGGGAGGAGAGATGCGTGAGAGCAGGCAGGCAATCTGTATTCATATGTTGAACACATGTCTAAGATAAAAGACGTGGAAAGGTCATGGATTTACCGTTTACTACTGGATGCACTCCAACAGAGCTAATATGACCATAACACAGAGAAATAAAGGGCTGTTACTCCCGCTGTAAACCCATAATAACACTGAGAGCTCTGTGAAGATTAAAGCATGATTGAATGCTCTCTTTTATGTTTGTTAATGTCCCGGTGGCACAGACCCTCCTGCTGAACTGGAAATTGGTTTTAGTTTTACAAACAGTGCTTCTAGAGAACAGTCGCTCACCCACTGACCTGATTTATCATCAGGACTGAAAACAAATCATGAGGTACCATAAGGGCTGGCCAATATATAGATATTATATCAATACAAGATATCTATTTAGATTTATGTCAAGCAAACAATGTGGGCTTGTTCTCCAAATAACGGTTTTCATCAAAAAGAAAAAAAAATAGTTAATCTTTGACCTTCAAAACCAGCGATGCACCATTTGGGGAAACCATGGCCGATAGAATAGACCCGTTGAGTCTCATGTGGAGCATACACGTTGTTCATCCAGTGGTTTCTTCTTCTCTACAAATAACTAAAACCACATTCGGAAAGCCTAAAACTGATGCAACACAACAGATAATATATGGAGTATAGGAGTA